GTGCTGCTTGCACACCTTCTCCTCCCATCGCCTCCATCGCTTCTTCCTTGTCCGCCTCTCCCCCTCACCACGTGCACGCATCGTGGCGACAGTGGCCAAGCTCGTGTGCACGCACGCACGCACACGTGTTCCTGGCAGGGTCTATCCCCTGTGGGGGCCAGCGTGGGTTCGAGCAGGACAGGACATAAGAAACCACCGGTGGCAGCTCAACCGCCCGCGCTCCTCCCTCATGCGATGGGCCACCGACGCTACGGCGTACCTCAACAGGCGGGAATGACTAGCCCTGTGCGTCTTTTGAGCCGACTCAAACACATGTGGGGTAGGTTGCCGGTACATGGGGCGGGCGCGGGTTCGAGCAGGACATAAGAAACTGTTAGAATCTTAGGCAAGGATGATGCATTGGGTGAAAGTTGGGGTACAAGACTAGGGTGTCGAGAAGTTTTCTGTACCCCCTAAGGCTAGCCCCAATATAGCCGAGACAATAACATGCATATATTTTGACACACCCCCATAGGCGAAATGGGGGATAGCCAGAGCAAGCAATGGTCACAAGACCAGTCAAGAGAAGAAACAAAACACAGCTCAGGGTGGATCACAACGTCACCACACACACTGAGCACAAGCAAACGGCCACACGGCCAGTCCACATGCAGAGGTATATAAGCAACAAGAACAGTACAGTGATATCTACCTAGCAAGAGCAAGCATGCAGGTATAAATATATAGATCACAGTACAAACAGAGACTACAGCAAGTGAGGAAAAGTGGGCACAAGGCCTAACAAAGTGCAGAAACGCTGATGATCACCAGACGGAAGTGCCTTGGTGAATATATCAGCAGTGTTGGCCCGAGTGGCCACGTGAGCAAGACGAAGCTGACCACGCTGCTGCAACTCTCGAGCAAGGAAGTAACGCAGAGCGATGTGCTTCGTTCTGTGCTCCAGTCTGTGCTCCTGACACAAGGCAATGGCGGCCTTGTTGTCAACGTACAGCACTGGAGGAGAACGAGGCCGCTCTCCCAGGTCGGTGAGCAGGTAGGTGAGCCAGCGTAACTCCTGTTCAGCCATGGCTCCGGCATAGATCTCAACCTCACAACTGGAGCTGAGAACAGAAGACGAGCGTGTAGAACGCCAAGAAACTGAACCAGAGCCAAGGCTGAAGGTGTAACCCTGTGACGACCGCTGCGTAGCCTGGTCGTCAACCCAAGAAGCGTCCGAGTGACCAGTGAGGACAACGTCGCCCCGTCCTCCAAGCACGAGCCCCATGCCCGACGTACTGCACAAGTAGCGCAGTACCCTCTTAGCAGCATCCATGTGCACCTTTCGGTGTCGACCAGGAGCCACGTAGCGAGCCAGAAGGCCAAGAGGGTACGCGAGGTCAGGACGAGTGCAGGTCATCAGGTACATGAGGCAGCCAACTAGCTCTGGGTAAGGACCACTCGGCTCTACGGACTCGTCCGAAGGTGGAGCTGAGAGCGAGTGACCTGTAGCCAGAGGAGTGGCCTGTGCCGAGGACCAGGTGAAGCGGAAGCGCTGAAGGACCTGCTGCACCATGTGTGACTGAGTCAAGGTGATGGTGCGGCGTGCTCTGACCTGGGTGATCTGCAAGCGAAGGTAACTGCGCAGCTCACCCAGGTCTGTGCACGTGTGTCTCTTCTGCAGCTCCGACTTCACCAGGGCGAGAGCCTCAGTGTCAGCAGTGGCAAAGACCAAGTCGTCGATGTACACGAGGATGTAGAACGGCGGCAGCGAAGTGTCGGTGCGCAGAAACAGCGACGGGTCAGCAGTCGACGGAGCAAACCCAAGAGCCGCAAGTGTCGTCCTCAGTGTGTCGTGCCACTCACGTGGCGCTTGGCGGAGACCGTAGACCGGCCGCCGGAGGCTCCACTGGGTACCAGGAGGGAAAGACCCAGTGAAGCCAGGTGGGCGGCGCAGCCAGATCTCCTCGTGCAGGCTGCCCTGCAAGAAAGCTGTGCTAAAGTCAAGAGAGTGAAGCTTGTAGTCACGCTGAGCGGCAACGTGCAGCAGCACCCGAAGAGTGGTCATCTTCAGGGTGGGGGAGAAGGTCTGGAAGAAGTCAACTCCCTCTCGCTGACTGAAACCTCGAGCAACGTAACGAGCCTTGAAGACAGGCGGAGAACCTGGCGGCCGCTTCACCCTAGAAATCCACATGCCACTTGACGATGTTCGCCCCAGGAGGGGGAACCTCGTCGACATACATGCCTGTGGACTTCCAGGATGCCATCTCTGCGTCCATGGCTGTCTGCCACTGAGAGGAGTACTCACCCGCGATCGCCTCAGCGTAAGAGCGCGGGGTCGGGATGTCTGGAGCATCCGGGTCTCCCTCAGGGGCAAGCAGCACGGAGACGAGATGAGGCGCAGCGGCTGCAAGACACTCAAAGTCCTCCTGTCTGTCCTCAAGGACGTCCGTGCCAAGAGCACACTCACCCCCGACGGACGGAGGACAGACAGACTCAGACTCAGCAACAAGACTAGCGGCGTAGTCTATACGACAGGCAGCAGCAAAGTCAACAAGCTCAGCAACAAAGGCAGACGCAGCAGCAGACTTAAACGACGGGTCAGTGACAACTGTGGCTAGCAGACGCGTGACAGTAGAGTGAGCAGCACGGGTGCGGTCAGACTCAGGCTCAGGAACGGTAGGCAGAGAAGACGCAGGAGGGGACGGCAGGGGAACACGCTGCGGAGGAGAGGAAGGACGACGAACTACGAGGTGGGTGCCGGGGACAGCCGGCTGACGCGAACGAGGAACACGACGACCGGAACTACGAGAATGGACAGGCGAGACAGGACGCGACGCAGGCTCACGACGCTCAGTAAAACCCCCTTGTCTGCTCAGTGTAAGGAGAAGGAGCAGGCAGCGGTGAGCCAGGCTGTAACGGAAGACCAGTAGACGAAGGGAGACTAAGAACCTGCTTCAGGGGCCAGGGGCGGCTGCTCGGGGTCCAGGGGCGGCTGCTCCAGGGGCGGCTGCTGCAGGGGCCAGGGGCGGCTGCTCTGGGTCCAGGGGCGGCGCTCGAGGGTCCAGGGGCGGCTGCACCAGGGGCGGCTGCTTCAGGGGCCAGGGGCGGCTGCTCTGGGTCCAGGGGCGGCTGCTCCAGGGGCGGCTGCTTCAGGGGCCAGGGGCGGCTGCTCTGGGTCCAGGGGCGGCTGCACCAGGGGCGGCTGCTTCAGGGGCCAGGGGCGGCTGCTCGGGGTCCAAGGGCGGCTGCTCCAGGGGCGGCTGCTGCAGGGGCCGTGGGCGGCTGCTCTGGGTCCAGGGGCGGCGCTCGAGGGTCCAGGGGCGGCTGCTTCAGGGGCCAGGGGCGGCTGCTCTGGGTCCAGGGGCGGCTGCTCCAGGGGCGGCGTAGCTGGTGCAGGGCAGCGCGCTGGTCCCACAGGCGCCGTGACGGGCGACGGGGGGCAGCGCGCCGTCACCGGAGGAGGCGACGCGCGGGGCCGGTGGCAGGCTAAAACGGGGCCGAAAAACGGGCTACGCGGGCGGCGGACGCGGCGCGCAGGGCCTAAGCGGGCTGCGCGCGAGCGGCTTACGCGACGCGCGGGCCGGCGGCAGGCTGCGCGGGAGGCTGACGTGGCGCGCGGGGCCGAAAACAGGCCTAAACGGGCTGCGCGCGGGCTGCTTAAGAGGCGCGCGCGGGAAAAAAAAAAGGGCCGCGCGCGTGGAGCCGAGGCGCGCGCGGGCAGTAGGCAAGGTAGGTAGGCACGTGAGGTAGGTAAGAAGTAAACGGTGGGCCCTAATCCTAGGTCATAAGGACCTATGCTCTAGATGCCATGTTAGAATCTTAGGCAAGGATGATGCATTGGGTGAAAGTTGGGGTACAAGACTAGGGTGTCGAGAAGTTTTCTGTACCCCCTAAGGCTAGCCCCAATATAGCCTAGACAATAACATGCATATATTCTGACAGAAACCACCCACGCTCCTCGCTCAAACGACCAGCCACAGACGCCACTGCATACCTCAATGCCCCGGACCCTTGCAAACATGCCAACATGTGAGTCCTTGCAGTGACGGCCCGTCGCATGCCCCTCACACACAGGACGGGAGTGAGTTACTGTGTGATTGCTGCATGTCAAGAGGTACCGAGACTTTCGAGCAATGGGCCGGAGCGGAGACAGTGGCGTGCGTCAGCAGCGAGTGAGGCTTGCAAGCTGTACGGATGCTGCCGCGTGCATCCTCTTCTGCCCTGCTCCGCTCCGCACTCCCATACGGTATCTTTATGTGCGCATGAGCGCCTGCATGTGTTGTACATACCAGTACGATTAATTAGAATACCATCCACCCATTCTCTCTCGTGGTACAGGTTTTCCCTGTTGCAACGTACTTGGACAAAGCCTCTGAAAACTAGTGCCTTGTGCTTTGCCCCCTGCAACCTCCCAGATACCTATACCACGTGTTTCCGGCCCCCCTTGCCATGCTGTTCTGTTTTGTACCACCACAGCAAGGAACTGCATTCATGGCACTGCACCACACAAGACCAGTTTCCCAACAAAGAGTTGAGTTCTTTTGGAATCACTACTACGTACAACCTCTATATATAGGCAACTCAAAACCACACAACTTCTCTTGTGCGCAAGCCATTAGTAGGTTAGCTACTACTGTATAACATATTTCTTGCGAAACAACTCGCGGTCATAAATCCGGCGGGATTAGCACTGTACTGATGCCATGGATTGAAAAAGTCGACCCAATGAAAATATTCGGCACGATGACGAGCGATGGGACAAGCTCCCGCCCTTGAAAGAGCGTCAGCGGTTGGAAATTTGGACCGCGTTTAATCAGCGGCATGCCTTCAAGAGTCTCCAGCTCGCTGCCGCCCGGGAGGGAGGTGAGATTGAGGTACGAGTAGCGTTTCGTGATGACGTGGAAGGCGAGGATTTGATCTCGCTTGGCGGGGGAGAAGGCGGTTCTCATGAAGGAGAGGACCTCGGGGGAGAGCGGGAGGAGGATGGTGACGTCAGATAGTGACGTGAGCGCTGATACTGTTCATGGGGGGATGGGAGTGGGGGAGATGGAGGGAGGGATGTGGGGGAGAGAGAGGGGAGAGGGGAGGGAGGAGGGGTGGGAGAGAAGGGAGGAGAAAAACGTTAGTGGTGTGCAGGGAGGAGAGGGATGATGCACTACGTGGAAAGGATTCGATATTACGTGGACGGATCTGGAACCAGCAATGCTAAATAAGGCGCCGCACAGGGGCATGGGGGTGAAGCGGAGTTCAGAGACGTCTCTAAACCCGCCCCCCATTGGCGTTTTGAGTCGAATGGCGACGAAATTGGCTGAGGAAGCGGGTGGAGGGAGGGAGGGAGGGCAGCGCAAGGTAAAGCAGCGCGTGCGAAGGGAGGAGCAGGATGATAGCTTTGAGGCGCCGACGAGTCGTAACGCAGAGGTTGTGAGGGCGGACGGGTGCAATATGAGGGGCTTGGCGCGCAGCAAGGCTCAACGAGGGTTGCTAGGCAGGGTGAATGAAGGGGCGAGGATGGGAGGAATAAGGGGCGGGGATACGGGCACGAAGGAACGAGCGCAGGGAGCGTGCGGTAGGGCAGCGGTGGGGGGTGCATGCATGGCGGCGACACGCGTGGGCCCTTGGGCTGGGCATCGGGGCTACCGCGTGGAGGAGCGGCGCGCGGAGGAAGTGCGGAGGGGAGAAGTGCGGAAGAGGGAAGCGCGGAGGAGGGAAGTGCGGAGGAGGGAAGCGCGGAGGAGGGAAGGGCGGAGGAGGGAAGCGCGGAGGAGGGAAGCGCGGAGGAGGGAAGCGCGGAGGAGGCAACGAGAGAAGGAGCAACACACGGGAGGGAGATCGCGGGAAGAGAAGGACGCGGCGAGGCATGGACGCGCAGGTTGGTGCGACGATGGGGAAAGGCGGGGAGGCGGAAAGGAGGAAAGGGGGAACGCCGGGGAGGGGGAAGCCAGGGGCCTGAGCGAGGAGGGGATAAAGCGGAGGAAAGGGAACAATGCGCGTGGGGACCCCGGACGGAACGCGCGCGGGAGCGGACGACAGCGGAGAACAGAGCAACGAGGGGTAGAGAGGGGTAGAGGGGAGTTGGACGGGGGAGAAGGTGGTTGAGAAGCAGGGATGGAGGAAACGGCACAGCCGAACCACGCAGGGGCGGAGGGGTCGCGGAAACGACAACGCGGGAAGGTGGACCAGGAAAGAGGGGGGCAGACGGCGAGAGAGCAGGCGGGAGAGACGGCGAGGGCGGCGGCGGGGGAGACGGCGGGATAGCCTGAGCGAGTGTGAGAAAGCGGGGAAGCGGCGAATGGAGGAGGAGAGAGAGGCCTGGAAGCGCTGTGACGGGGCAATGACGACCAGCGTAGGGCGTCGTAAGAGGGTCGTAAGTGGGTCGTAAGCGGGTCGGATGGGGTCGTAAGGGGTCGTACGGGGCATGTAGGGGTCATAGGACCTCTTGGAGAGATCGTAGGGGGGCGCAGCGGATCGTAGGGGGGCGCAGCGGATCGTAGGGGGGCGCAGCGGATCATAGGGGTTCACAAGGGCTTGTAGAGGGGGAATCGTGCGGGATTGGTGGAGTTGCGCGGGGGGGGAGTGGGGGGTCGAGATGAGGCTGTGGAGGGAAGGAATATGGACTTTTAAAGAGCACGAGGGGGAAGAGAGACGCACGCCATTGGCTGATGACGTCTTTCACGGTCGCGAACTCTGCTCGCTTATTGATTTGCGCGATGGCTTGCTGCAGCTCCGCTCTCCGTATCGCCTCCACGCCACTTGCTTGCAATAGTATTAGTAACGAGAAAACTATAGCGAGTACGGGTACTGAGTGTTGCCATCTTTGCTGCCGGCAAGCCATTGAATAAATTTAATGGAGGCGAAAAGGGATGTCTGTCTTGAAAAATGTCGATGAAGCCTGAAAGATACTACTATGGCTGATACTTTTGTCCCGACGAACTGCTTCTGAGGATGCACGCAGATCGAGAGATGTGCTTAACAAGGGGAAACCCTAAAACGACATTTCGCTTATGTTGCGTCGTCTTTGTCGACCGTCGAACGCCATTTTGTCAACGCTACAATGACACCGCGCTGCAGACTACGAGACGCGCGCGTGTAAGGGGCTCATAAGCAGTAAGGAAGTAACCAAGTAGCTACTTGGGGACTAGCCGGCAATTAACTAGCAAAGAGTGAGCTAACGTTTGAGGAGGAAAACGTTCACGAGGCGTAAATTACTAACTTTCGACCGGAATAGCAGTCACGGAAGACGACGGAAATAGAAGCCTGAGTCGGTGGCCTCAATCTACTGCTGCTGGTACATACGAATGGTGGTAACCAGTCGATGGTCTGTGACTGAGTGAGGGTTGGTTGGTTGTCGGAAATGCTGCTGCTGGGATGCTCTGCCAACCTTCCGCCATGATTGACGGTGGGGAAGGGCGTTGGTCAGGCAGGGGCCAGCGCAGGCTGACTGGGGGGAGTTCAGCCAAGAGCCAGAACCTGCCACCTTTGGTTTCAATTCTTTCTTTAAACTTTTTGTTTCGGGAGAAATATATTGCCCGTAATGGGAACAAGCTGGAAAAGCTCGTCGTTTCGGAAGGCGTGATAACGTGAAAGTGGGCGACGCAACAGCAAGGTCGCAGTGTACATCCGTTTTCCAGGGTTTGGCCCAGGATGCGGCGGAGCACTGTGCCGCGCACCCTCCTGGACCGTGAAAATACAGTGTGCCCACAGTGCATACCTGATAAACCCAAACGGAGTTGGTTTGAAGTGCCCGTGAGGAGGAAGGGAGGTGTTTGGGAACTCAAAGATGAAAACCAACTGCCTGTCTTGCGACCAACTGCAGGAAGATAGCAGCTTCAGACTGCGACATGGTTGGTTGAGTCTTCCCTTCGTTTCGCAGTTAACAGTAAAAAACCTTAAAGCCCGCGTCCCAAATTGCGGGCCGCGAGGGTCAAGTTTTTAAAACTTGACGAAGTTGAGTGTCCAAGCTTTTGAAAGTCACGCACTTGCAATTTGGGACTTTCGAAGACAGATTCACTCACCAGGGGGAAAACCGAGGGTTGGCTGGGTCTCGCGAAAAAAACGAACCTAGACGAAATCGGAAACTCTCGCCAAAGCCCACACCAGAAAAACTCCCTCTGGTCAACTTTTAAAAGCATGAACAATTTGGGCCGCCGGCTTTAACCTTGACATGGGGGATACTCAGGGAAACCACCTCGACTTCCGAGGGCCAGCCTGTGAGGGGCACCTGGCAGTACTGTGCATGATGGATGGGGGCAGCTGTGTGGGGTGGGAAGCTACTGTACAGTACATGGGGCCAGGTCAGGTCACGGTCACGGATGTCAGGAAAGAGCGCACGGGCCGGGGAGTAGGCAAACACCGAGCTATGCTCGGCGGTTTGGAAGGAAAGGCGTTGAAGAGCTGCCGTGCACTAGGTGGGCAATTCGGGGGAGCGCGAAGCTCGTGAGCATCACACAGTTTCGTGCAGTCTGGTTACCATATCCGAGGCATACTCAAGGCAGCGTGCGAAACACCAGTTTGTCGGGAATGCGCGGGACATTCGGTGGTGACAAACCATACACACCACCCACAACTCCCGCCGATCCGACAGACAGGATTTTACAGAGGTCACGTACCCCTCCTCGCAAACTTTCCCACTGCGCTTCCGACAATGACAGCTGTACATGGGGCTGGGACCCAGATCATTGGCTTCTGCAGTCGTCTCGTGCTCCAGATGCCTGTCGTCTAGCGTGAGAGCGGGGGTTGTACAAAGCAGGTTTAGCATTTTCAATGGCTATTATGTTTTTTACCCTCGTTCATCCGTAAGAGTCGTAATTGAATCTCCAAGTGCCTCGTGCGCTCACTTGTACAGAAAAACCCCGTCATCGTCAATCCGTTTCACACAAAACCTAGCCGCAACATGTGGTAGTGACAGGCATCGTCAATCCGTTTCAAATCCTGGCATGTACAGATTGCCGTTTCTCATGGCCTGACTGCCCGATGTCCCTAACGAGACTAACATTCACAGTACGAATGGAGTGATGTGTAGGGGCGTGAGCTCTGGACAGGCATCGTTACTAGAGTGGTGCTCCACATTCGTTACAGTTATAGCATCCATCAGGTGAATAGGTAGACTATGCAAGGATAAACATACTGCTCTTATGATGCATAGTGATTACACCCTACTCTAACAACGGTTCTAACTCTAAAACGGTTTTTTATTATTCCCATTTCATCTAAACCTCGTAGCTGCAATTCAATAAATTGCATCACTGCCTCTGAACGCCTAATGTTAGGGGTAGAACGACAAATCATACTGTTACAGCAGAGTCGCCTCCACCGCCGTCCTCCTGCATGATGAGCCCTCACAACACATACGCCTTTCCAATACCAACCCATCACCCCCTCCCTCTGCCATTATCCCACACCAACAATTCAAGGGGGATCACAAGTCGGCGGGGATGAGGAGCGTCGTGGTCCCTTGGATCGTGAAGTCCGAGCCAACCCACAAGTTGGGGATGATCAGCATGCTCCAAAGAGTCGCGCCCGTGCCCTGGAAACCCACAACTGGCTGGTAGTTGGGACCGCGCTTCGTAATGGTGCTGCCTTCCAGCGAGTCAAGCGACGCGCCGCCCTTCATGTTGGTGAAGTTGCGATAAAGATAGCGCGTGGTGATGGTATTGTATGAAATAATTGTCGTTTGCTGATCCGAGGTGTACGCGTACAGCTGCGCGATGCCCACAGGTATTAAAATGGTGACGTCTGTAAGCGGAATAAGTTGCTTAACTGCCCAGGGGAGGGGAGAAAGAGGAAGCGAAAGGAAATGGTGGGAGGGGGAGTCATAGAAAAGAAATGGATAACAATAAATAGCTGCTGTACGCTGTCGTGGGAAAGCAAAAACTGGATGTGCTGCGGCTCCTCAAACGACGTGGCAATTTACGAAACAGTGCAAATAAAGAAATAACAATGCGAACGCCATTTACTTCGTTTCATAACAGACGGCATTTTGCACAGGTTTGTGAGGGTTGATTGGCACACCAAGCCCGAAGGAGATAACGATAGAGAAGATGGTGCACGAAGCTTTGCTAGTGGTCGTAATGCTTCAGTATCAGGCATGTTGATATGAAACGGACGAGCCATGACGCAAAGGAGGGACCTCTATCGCACGAGGCGTCACAGGAACGCCTCTTAAGTTGCGCAGCCTCCTCAAGGGTCAGATGGCGTCACTTACAGCACGGTTCGATTGGCTCCATCCGGAAGCCTTTTTTTTGTTTAGCATATCACGTACGGTATTTGTCAATCAGGTCATGGACGTTCTTGAACTCCGGTCTTTGCTTGATGCCGTCGCTCGCCTTCCGTACCTCCCGCGGGTTCAGCGCTGTCGCTTGGTGTTCTTGCCACACAGCCACGAGCAGCAATAGGGTTACCAACTTGACGAACGTCTTCATGGCTTCTCGTGGAGATACTTTTCACATGTGTGTTTCCACTCCGCGACTGCGCTCGTTTGTGAAGCACGTCTACAATAGCCTGATTATAGAAATGCTGGCACTGTTGAGCGTGACGCTGAAAGAGAAAGAGTCTTCCGAACCGCGAGTGCAACTGGTTCCAAGCTATCGCTACTAGCCGGGTCGAAAAAGACTGAACCAAGCTTCACCCCAAATTCTGAACGCGTGTCTGAATCAGCGATTCTTCTAGGCACTAGTAGCGACTTATATCATAACCAGCACGTGTGAGCGATAGATGAACAAATGACACTATGGCGAGAAAGCTTCGCAACACAGGAAACAACTGGCAGAGACTCCTAATACTGTAGGGTGGTAAGGTAACGCGTCAACCGTTTCACTGAAAGCACGCCCTGGATTCTCTCTGCTCGGAAATTGTCAAGCGTTTTTCACGACACCTCACCTTTCGTCGACTTGGCCCCCAATCGCGGTGCCCATCGAAAGATGGTGCGTGCAGTTTTGCTGCATGGATGTAGGGGGGCGTACACCGTCGCCAGAAACACCCTCCTCGCTATTGTCGCTCGCGCATCTCTCCTTGCACCCTCCCTTCCAGCTGGTAACACCTGCGAAACAAATTCATTCTCGCGAAAGAAAGTTGCTGCCGAGATGACCAATTGCCTTCCGCGAATTCCATCAATAGCATCTCGTTCGTTAGACAGGCATGAAAGTGTTGCTGGAAAGGTTCGCGATGTTTGGCGGTGCGAGTATCCCCATGAACACCAGGGCACGTGAGCTCTGACCCGGCATCAGAATGAATGTGGTCGAGCCGTGGTAGGTAGCCCAGGCCGCAAATATCGCAATGCGCATCCCAGTGTGCTTACGTGCGATTGCGACACGGTTCAGTGCCTTGTCCACATCAAGCAATACTTTCGCCTTTTGATCACTACAGTGTACATTGTACTGATTGTTAACTGCTGTGACTGTCTATGCCCACTATCTGATTACACTCATAGCTTTGGTTTGATGAGAGCACCATCTTGAAATGATGCACAATAAATCAATGAGCTTCAATCATCTATATCAAATAAAGGCTACATGTTGCATTGTCCAATACCAACGGCTTCTCTATCCATCCGTGCCCTTGAATTGATGCGGGTTTCTCTACCGTATTTGTTCGCTTCACCTGCTTCACATAGGGCACTCTAGCTTTCGCTTGATTGCTGCCCAGATCCACCCCATTGTGTCTCCAACACTGTCCATCCATGCCATTTTGCATCCAGCCCAAAACATAATCACATATCTACCTCCCACTTCTCCCACAGCCAGTCCCCACCTGTGCCTCCAGAGGTGCTCTCTTTTCTCCCACCCACAGCAGCCCCTCCTCTCTTCCGACACAACAGCCATGCCTCTCTTTCTGCATCACCAAGGCAAATAGACAGCCCGCAGCACACGGCCCAGTCAGCAGCACACAGCAGTCAGGAGCACACGGCCTGGGTGGTTTCGCAGTCGGCCAGCACATCCAAGCAATTTTCCTCCACCTTCAGCCGCGTGGGGTAATCCGCGGGGCAAACACCCTGGATGATTGGCGACCCCGAGAACGAGTTGTTCCGCACGTCTAGAATGAACGTGCTGAGGGCTCCCAGAGCCGGCTGCGGCAGAGGCCCTGTGAAGCTGTCTCCTGAGAGCACCAACCGGGTCAGATTCGGCAGGTCGTTTATGCTGACTGGAAAATAACCTCCAAGGTCCGCATTACCACTTAAATCCAAGCTCAAGAGCTCTGACAGGTTTCCCAGCTCTTCAGGCAAGGTACCGTTGAGCGCGTTAGCGCCGAAGTGGAAGTATTTAAGCTTCGTGAGCGTGCTTAGAGACACGGGGACCTCGCCTGCCAGCACATTCCGTCCGAAGAACAGCCCTTGGATGTTCTCGAGGATCGGCCAGTCGTAGTCCGCCATCTGTCCCTCGATGCCGTTCCCAGCAAGGTTCAGGCTGGTCAGGTCGCTCATTAGCACGATTTCCGTCGGGAGGGACGCGATGCGGTTAGCCGCCAAGTCCATCGCGACGACCCCTGCGCCCGACGCGGGGAATGTGATGGGCATGTCGGCTAATAGGTTGACGCTTGCGGAGAACGTCAGGTTAGTCGCGCTGCCGTCTATTTCCGGGAACATAGCCGGCAGTTCCTTGAAGAAGCATTTGTCGAAGTGGGCGAACTGCAGCTTTACGAGGCTACTCAACTCATCCGGAATCGCTCCCGAGAGGTAGGTATTCGACACGTTTAGAACCTTGAGGTTGGTAAGCGCGCCGATGGACGGCGAAAGCGGCCCGCTGACGAGTGTTTTTGAGATGTCGAGGTAAGTCAACTGCGTGAGGTTCCAGATGTAATTAGGGTTTTTGTTGAAGAGGTTGCTCGAAAGGTCTAGATGCTGCAAGCGAGTCAGCTTGGAGAGAGTCGTCGTGAGCGGCCCGAGCAGGGCGTTATTCGCAAGGTTCAGCATCTGTAGATGCGACAGACCCGATAAGCTGGAATGTATTCCCGCGACGGGGCTTTTTATACCGGAGCTGTTTAAAGCAAGCTTGAGAACGTTTCCCACGGGACCGCAGGCGACGCCGATCCATTTCGAGCAATCGACGCCTTTCGCCCACGAAGTGGAGCCAGTGAATCCGCTATAAGCACCCTTGAGAGCTAATAGCGCGTCCTCCTGCGATGGCTTGATCTTGACTGACGAAACCAGGCGATCGGAAGGTGAGGGGAGAATGAAGAGGAGGAAGAGGTTGTAGATGAAATGCGGCTTCATGGTGGATACAATGCGGCGCGGTTCTGGTAGTGAGGAGCGGTAAGGGGCTGTTCATGAGGATAAGGGACGCTGTGTCAACATCGAGCTGCTTGCGGCAACGTTCGAGCGCGCGTAAATTCGTTCCAGACGGCTTCACTTAGTGCAGGTTACAGCCACATGCAACGTAAAATGGCTGCCGGAAACACTTGGTCCGTAGGATATCACGACAAAGAACCGTCGAGGTCACGCGCCAGTGTCTCTGCGCTGCTCTAGTAGTAAGCGAGAAATCCAGGAGTTTCTAGGTACTGACTCACTGCAAATTAGCGGCGATTAGGAGGGCTTGGGTGGTGTCGTGTCGTGTTTTCCGTTGAAGCTTGCTGCACCTTTTTCTCCCAATCTGTAGTTTGGTGTGGTGTGCGTGCGTGTATCGAGCGTAGTTACCGGGGTAGGTCGTGCCTGCGGGGATGGACAAGAGGAGCGAGGAGCGAGGAGAAATCTACAGGTTGGGAACTTGGGAACAGGAAAGAGGGGAGAATGGGGTGTGTGGGGGGCAAGAAGGTTGGGTGGGATAATGTGGTTTCTAGGGGGGTTTGAATCGAACAAAGGTGGTCGGTGCGTAGTCGCGGGTGGGTTGGGGAGGAGTTACATGGTTATGGATCTGCCAGGGGGATCAGGTGGAATTGCAGGTGATGCGGGTGAAGGAGATGTCGCTGTTGGGAGAGCAATGACTTGTTCGGTTTTGAATCTGCTTCGACATTAAACATAGGCTGCTTCATCTCATGTTCGTATCGTGCTGTTGAAGTTAGTGGTGGCAGCAGAAAACGACAATGCAGCCGCTTTCTGGTGGCGCTCGATATATTTTGCGGCTCGAAGGGGGAAGGAGGTTGGGTTCGGGCTCTGCCTGGCCAAACCAGCTCCAACCGCCACCAGAGGCAGCTGGTCAGACAGACAGCCCAACACCAGCTCATTCATACGTGGATAGAAGCACGCTTGGGATCACAAGTCATCGGGGGAATCCCTAACCAAACAGACCGAGCCGAATGGCGCACATAGGGGGTGTTCCAGTTTTGAGAACCTGGAAACTCCTAACCACTTCCAAGGTCCCGGAGCAGGGTAAACGAGCTTGCTGGCAAAAAAATCACCAATCAGCAGGGCCAGAATGGCGCCAAACCAGCAGCCACCTACCCCGACCGAACGTCCGTACACGCCATCCTGCCATTCCCCCATACTCCCCTGCCCCCCCCTCCTCCCGCATGGATCCATGCCCTCCCCTCCAAGCACCCCAAGCAATAAGCGCCTCCATTTCTCCACCTCGTCAATTTTCTCCTAGATACAAAACGACCCGCTGTTCCAGATTCTTGTTTATCTTCATTCCCGAAACCCCGTCTTGCCGATTCGTCAAAGCAGCTTCTTTCTTTCGTCGACAAATAATTATAGCCTGATAAGATGGGTCGAAACATTCCTGTCATTGTCCTCTTGGTATCACTGCTCGTGTCGTCTCCTCTCGACGCGAACGCAGCAGTGATAAAACCGTACCAGCAAAAAGCGATGCTGAACGCCAAGAGCGCGTATGGCAGCTTCAAGGGGGATTCGACGTGGAAGGCGGGTGCGGACTGCTCCACGTGGCAGCGCGTGCAGTGCAACAGCGCGGGTGACGTCACGCACCTCCACCTCGCGAACGCGATGATTCGCTCCACGGGCGTCGGCATCGCGCCGTCCCTCTCCGTGCTCACGAAGCTCGCGTTCCTCAGCCTCTACAACAACAGCATCACCGCCGAAATCGGCACCGTCCTCTCCACCCTCACTTCCCTGAAAACCCTCAACCTTCAGCTGAATCGCTTTTACGGGAGCGGCTCGAGCAGAATTTGGAAATTAACTCAGCTGACGTACCTCGATATCTCCCACAATCTGCTCGTCGGGCCGCTCGGCGCGGGGCTGGGCGCACTCACGAACCTCGCGTATCTGGACGTGTCGTCAAACTACTTCCGCGGCGCCATCCCCGCGTCGTTCAACAACCTCGTGAAGCTCAAATACAGCGACTTCAGCGGCTGCTTCTTCACGGGGCTCCCGCCCGCCTTCCCCGAGCTCGACCCGGGCAACCTGACGTTCGCCGCGGAAAGCAACCTCATCATGAGCATCCCCATCACCTTCCCCGCGTCCGCCGCGGGCGTGTTCAGCATCGACCTGTGGGGGAACCTGCTCGCAGAGCTCCCGACAGAGGTGGCGCTGCTGACGGAGCTCAAGGTGCTCAACGTCGCGGCGAACCGCATCGCGACGCCGCTGGAGGACATCGCGTGGAGCGAGCTGGTGGCGCTGGAGGAGCTGTACCTCGGCCGCAACGCCATCACCGGCACCGTCCCCACGGACCTCGCGGCGCTCACTGCGCTGAGGCACCTCCACTTCCACACGAACCTGCTCACTGGCTCGCTGCCGGACGAACTGACGCTGCTCACGGACCTCGTCTCCCTGGACATCGGCCTCAACACAGAGCTGGGCGATGGGCAGGATTTTCCTGCAGGGTTCAGTGAGCTGCAGTCGCTGACGCGGCTGGTAATTATCGGTGATAATTTTGCCGGGCCGCTGCCGCAGCCGTACTTGGCGGCGGACCCGGGGTTTTACCTGGACGCGCGGAACAACTCGTTCACGGGGTCGCCCTTGGTGCGGGACGTGTGCCCCAACTCGCGGCCGAACCGGCTGCGCGTGGCGTGGAACTGCCTGGATGCCGAGACGGACTGCTCCACCAACCAGCGCGTGTGCGCTAGATAGCTGGGTAGGATCGTGGGGCTGGGGGCTTCTTAGGATGAAAGCACAAGAAGGTTACCTGGGGGTGATTCGGAAATAAAGAGGTATACCGTAGTTGGCTAGAGTTACTAGGTTAGTGCGGCTTTGTTGTGCTGCTTACCATATATTTGTACATAAGTAGCTAACCATGGGAAGGACATTCAGATTGCATCGAAGAACCCTTATCTGTTCCCTCAAATCCACAGATACTGAAACAGGCCCTCCATGAAGCTCAGTGTCAACTTTCCTGTCTAGTGGGGAGGGATGTAATAGGTACAAAACATTTTGTCAATTCACACATCACTGTTTATAGAGCGGTGTCGGATAATCACTAGCGAGTTTTTCAAGACCTGCCGCAGTTTCCAGTTACGACCGGCACTGTTGGATTCGAGTGGGCCTCAGTCGAACATGCACTACGCGACAAGATGGGAAGGCCACACGCTGGCGCAGACATCCAAGCCAAGCCAGGTAGCCTCGGTTGGCGGCACCGAGCCGCTTACGTTAGGTGGATTCGACTTGACATGACACCCCTCCGCAACTTTCCCCTTACCTCATCCACCCCTCGGCGCAGGTGGTCTGGTCTGGCGGACTTGTAGTTATTGCTTGGAGCAAACATTACTGGTTTGGGTTGGGTTAGTGGAGGTAACGAATTCGCGTTGTTCTCCTTCGCGAGATCTGGGTGCGTCCAATCCACCAGCACCAATTTGCTTCCCCTCGCCAGACCCGAAGGGAAAACACAAGTCGGACACAATTGCCCCCATCCTTTCTACTTTCACTTTACATGACTTGTTCTGGGTATACAAAAACCGTCGCTTTCAACGCGCCCTCCGCAGCGCCGCTCGCGCATCCACTCGTCTCGCACGCCACCAGGCCCCGCTGGCCACCTCCTAACACCGTGCCGTACAATCACCAAAGCCGCCGCCTTTCTCTGATGCGCCCCCTTCCACCCGCTCCCCTATCGCTTCCGTGGCTCGCAAATCCTTCTTATATAGAGGGCTGTATTCGTACGACATTCATCACAACAACGTTTGCGTGTCCTAGCTTCGACAAACCTGCTACTATTTCTCTTAGTCTCTCGCGCCGACGGACTCTCTCCGTCCTTCTCTCGACCCTCCGCTTTCCAGACAATAATAAAAGCATTAGCTATGAAGCACAGAATCTCGTATCCCCACGGGAGCGGTCACCGCTTCCCCCTCCTCCTAATGTTATCCGTTTTCCTCGTTATTGGCCTCTCCGGCAGCAGCCCCGCGCGCGCGCAGACCATCAAGCCGCCACAGGAGTCGGCGCTGCTGAGCCTCAAAACGGCCTTCGGGTACTTCACAGGGAGCAGCACGTGGGGCGCGGGGAAGCCCTGCGCCAACTGGCTGCGCGTGACGTGCAGCTCCGCGGGGGACGTGCTCCGCCTCAACTTCACTTCCGCCAGCATGCGCTGGAAGACCGCGGGGATCCCCATCGCGCTCACCAATCTCACCAATCTCGACACGCTTATCCTCGCTAATAACGAGATCGTCGCCCCGATTCCGTGGTACTTATCGAAGCTGCCGAAGCTGAAGCGCCTCGACCTAAGCAACAACACGTTCTACGGCGGAACGAATCAGATCTGGACGCTCACCAAGCTCACCTTCCTCGACGTTTCCAAGACGCTCCTCCGCGGCGCGCTTCCGCCCGCCATCAGCGGATTGGCCAGTCTGGTGGTTCTCAACGTTAGCGACTCGTACTTCTCTGGACCAATCCCCGACGCGTTTTCGAGTCTGACGAAGCTGCAGTTCGGCCAATTGGACCGCTGCTTCTTCACCGCCCTCCCCGCCGCGCTTCCCGAGCTCGCGTCTGGCGCGCTCACCTTCACGGCCTCGGGAAACCTCTTCTCAAACATTCCCGCCACGTTCCCCGCGTCTTCCGCCGCGGTTGACACGCTGGACCTCTCGTCCAATCTCATCACCGCCCTCCCGACGGAAATCTCCCTCATGAGCGACCTGCGCCAGCTCAACCTGGCCAACAACCAGCTCAGCATCGCGCTGGCTGACGTCACCTGGAGCGGGCTTCCGAGCCTGGAGGCGCTGAACCTGGGTTTTAACGAGATAACGGGTTCAATTCCGGCTGAGGTCAGTGACCTCTCCAACCTCAAGACGCTGCAGCTGCAGAACAACACCCTCAGCGACGCAGTTCCCGATGAGATTGGATCGCTGGTGAATCTGACAGCGCTGGATCTGAGCAACAATGGCTTCACGGGCGATCTCCCTGAGAGCCTCAACGCCCTCTCCTTCCTGCTGCGCCTCGTGCTCGCTAATAACCAGTTAACCGGCCCACTGCCCCAGCCTTACCTTGGCGCCAATAGCAAGTTCTTTCTGGATGCCCGAAACAACTTGTTCACGGGGTCACCGCGCGTGAAGGGCATCTGCCCGAACGCGCGCCCGGCAAAGCTATTGGTGACTGGGAATTGCCTGGATGACGAGCAGGGGTGCACCACGGTGCAGAACACATGCGAGTGAGGGAGAGCATGGGGCCGGGGCTCTGCTGCAAGCCATGGGGTCATGGCTTCTGAGTGCAGCTGAGCAAGGCTTGTGAGCTGTTGCAAGCTGTTGTTTTTCATATGGGATCTCTTTGGAGTTTATCGTGAAACCATGGTGCTGATTTGGGGGGGAAGAGGGAGAGGGGGGGGGGGGGGGGGGGGAGGGAGAGAGCAAGGGGTTTGAGAAGTGATTGCGGCAGTTGCTGAGGGGTGAGCTGCGGCTGATCGTGCAAACCATTCCGCTGCTTCAAACTCAGACAGCTTTGGGAATAAATGGTGCTGGAGAGGGAGTATGGTCCCGGTGCATTGTCCAATCGTTGTGCCGCGGCATGGATAATGCGTGTAGGTTCATGCTGGATGCAGCCTGCTGGTTGATATTGGAAAATTGACTGACAGTATAGTTGTGGCTTATTTCAATCATACCCGAGTATGGCAAAAAACCTAGAAAAATATTTCCAGAGGGTGTGCAGTGCATGTGTCCAAAACATCCATGGAAAGGCGAGGAGCCAGTTGCTCCCCTGGGGTTGGATGGATATCATCTAATCTGCCTTCACCCAAGTCGGCACGTCAAATTCCAACTCCCGGGTGCCCATAGCTTTATTATCTCATAAGTGGCTGCATAGATACTTACTTTATTTGATGTCCATGCCTCACATTAAATATGCACACTAAATTAGTCTTACGTACACGTTTATTCCATTCGGACTTGTTACGGTTATTTTGGACATTCTGCGTTTTTACTAGTGCCTGCGATTCTCGTCTTGAGGACGTAACCCGCTCCTGTCGTAAGCTTGTCAGGAGCAATGTCAGCTCACCTCGACCCACCATTGGCTTTCGCTCCTGCAACACCAATAATTCAAAACGCGTTGCAACGGACGAGATTACCCTATCCCACATCCAAGGGTCTCCACTGAGCTGGGTGGGCGAGGGCAGGTTGCGGAAGGTGGCGGAGTGGGCGCAAGTTATGCGGTTTGATGACGGGGGCCGACTTCGAGTTTGACGCGTTCATTGTAATTTCAGTACGGGCAGGCAGCTGGGGATGGAATGATCTGTACGCCACCCAGTTATTATGTGTGGAATCGGAAAAATGGGAGTGGGCCGTGGGCAGAAGAAAACACCTAACCCCCGAAACAAGTTCCCCCCTCTCAACCAATCCATGCCAGCACCTCCTCGCACTCGTCCGCGCATCCGCGCTTCGCATTTTCCGCCTGCTTTCACCCGCCGTCGCATTTTGTCCGCGCATTCGCATTCTTGGCTCATCTCACCCAATCAGCCCCTTTCCATTCCAATAATTCACTTCGCGCCTCTCAAAGCTATCGCTTCTTACACACCAACCTGCGCATGAAGCTGCGCCTTCTTGAGCTCAGGCCCGCCAACAGAGGTCGCAGCTATTCTCGCCAATGTTGAGCTATCACGTGGGACGAGTCTGCATCGTCCGCATTCGTCTTAGTACGCGTTCTGGCAAATAACTAATTTACCTTTGACGCCATCGTAGTTCCAGGAACGTGACGAATAGCGGCACGTACCAGGCACGAATTCAAGCAACTTGGGCTCATGCCTGGCGCACCACGCGCGCGCCGCGATACGAGCCCTGATCCTCTGAATTCTATACCATATCGTGCACGGTTTTCGTAGGTCTGACCGCTGCCACGTGGCACGATGACGGATATTAGCCCAACAGGCCTGATCGATGAGTGGCTGCCCGTTTCCCCGCCCCCAGCCAGCGCCACTGCCGCCGCGAGCTACGCAAACGACTCAATCCAGATCGTCGCTTCTCACCCCGCCGCCTTCGCCAGCGCCCTCTCCTCCCCGCCGGCCAAAGTGGCCGACACCGGCGGCAGCGGAGCGACGGCGAGAAAGCGCCGCCGTGAGGCCTTGGCGGGTGCCGGCAAGCAGCCGAAGCGGACGAGGGGGAAGAAGGAAAAGGCTCCGTTGACCGAGTCAACCGTCGCAACTGGCGGTGAGTGGAAGCAAGTGGACGCTCTCAACGCGAGCGCCTCGGATTCTTGCGATCAACCTGAGAGTGCTCTGTCGTCCCCCACTGCCCCCGCCTTCCCGCGCGACGGATTAGCCGCGCAGCGCAAGCGCGGCGGAGATTCGGCCAGTCTCGCGGCGCAGGCTCCCGCGCCGATGAGTCTTGATACGAGCGCACGCGCCAATCGCGGCGCGAAACAGAAGGCAGATGTTGCTGTCGGGCAGCCTCTGGCGAAAAAGTTGTTGCAGCGACGTTCGCTACTGCCTTCTCCAGCGCCCATCTTTCGCCAAACGCTCGGGGAGCTTTGGAGCTTTCTTGACCCCACGTTCAGTGCCTCCGAACCTGCTTCCAGTCTTGAGCAACCCACCAAGTCCGGACCGAGCCAGAGCTTCAGCCTCGGGCAGGAAGCAACCACCAGCGAGCCGCCTACTCCGAGCGCGCAGAGCTGCCTTCAGCGATGCCCCACGGACGCGGCGGCTGCGGCGGGGGATGCAGCAGAGGCGAATGGCTCGGGATCTGAGGGCGCCGCGGGCTTGATCTGCGCGCAGGCGAGCGGCGGTTCGGCAGATGCGGAAGAAGGGTCGCTGGGCTCAGTGATTGGCGGCGAGAAACGCGGAGCGTCAAAGACGGCGTCAATGTCGGCGTCCGCGAGAGCGCGCAGCAACGGGGGCGCCATTACGGCGAGGCAGGTGGCGGTGTTGCGGGAGGCGGTAGCAGCGGCTCACTCCGGGGGGACGGCGGTCGTCGCGCCCGCGGGGAGCTCCGCCGCGGATGGGGGGGCTTCGATGGGCCAGCAGGGCGCGGGAGACGGGGGAAAGCGGCGCGCGCGAAGGCCGTTCTCGCGGCAGGGCAGCTCCAACGCGCCGCACGTGGCCGCGCGCAATGGCAAGGCGGCGGGCGCGCGTGGCGCGCAGAGGGACGGCGCAGATGGCGCGGAGGTGGCGCGAGGGGAATCAGCAACGCCGGGACGGTCGCTGGGCTCCGCCGCGGCTCCTGCTTCCGCCTCTGCTGCTGTGTCCCCTCCTGCTGCTGCTGACCTGTCTGCGTCCCATGCTGACGTGTCTGCGTCCCAGGCCGACCTGTCTGCTTGCGAAGGTGGCGCCCCTCCCGGTTCGCATGCACCTGCGCCTCTCTCTCCCCCTCCCGCATGCCCTACCTCCGCACCCCCACTCTCACCCGCCTCCTCACCCCCCCCTGCCGCCCCTTCACTCCCCTCGCCCATCTCCCCGCCGCAATCACGCCCTCACGTGGACGGCAGCAGCAGCAAGAGCCTGTTGGCCGAGCTCTCGTTAGAGTCACCCGCTCTAGGCCCACATGGCCCCTCGTTTAATTCACAACTGTATGAATCGCCCAACTGGAGCGGCTCTCCAGTTCTCTCGTTACAGGCACACTCCATGCAGTCACTGTGGACTGACGAAGGCACCCCGGACCTCCCACTCATGGCCTGCAATGGCGAGCAAGGCTCGGGCATCTCGCTGAACCTGCTGCCGAGCCTGGAGTGGCAGACGCCGTCAGGGTTGGAATCCAGGGAGCAGGCTGAGGTGGACTGGGCTCGCCTGCCGGACCTGGACGAGCTGCCGAGCCCCTCGCCTCCGTTTCCGAACCTGGATCCGAGCCTGACGCCAAGGCTGCCCGCCAGTCTGGATGGGGTGGCAAGCCTGGCATATTGTGAGCAAGGGGGAATCAGCGCGGAGTGGCGACCAGCGCAAGAGCAACAGCAGCAGCCCGACCCGCAAGAGCAAGAGCAGCAACGGCAAGCGGGGGGCCTTGAGGAGTGGGCACAGCTACATGGCTCTGAGAAGATTTGCGGGAATGGGGATGGAAACGCGGAAGGCGCGGTGGAAGGCGGCATGGGAGGCGCCGTGGAGGGCGCAGAGGCCCACGAGGCAGCGGTGAGTGCGGAGCAGAGAGGTATGACGGACGGTGGTGAGCGGTGGAGTGCACACGATGGGGGTCCTCTGGCAGAGCCCACTCTGCCTGAAGGTGCACCGATGAACCAGCCCTGCTTCCTGATTGGCCAGTCCCAGCCATCGCAGCCAATGAGCACGGAGGAGGCTGCCAGCGTGGCACCAATGGACTTCGAGGCAGCTGCCAGCGTGGCAGTGAGTGCAGAGCTGTGGGATTCGCCTCACGCCATGAACGCCAGTGGGTTGGAGGGGATGGAAGGTGAGGAGGGAGGAGGAGGGGTGTGGGAGGAGCTGGACGTGGTGGTGTGCGGTGTGAATGGAGTTATGGGGGGTGCTGGTGACATGGAGGACAGAGGCGAGGGGGTGAGAAGGGAGTGGGACCTGGCTTCGGTGGTGCGCGAATGCACAGCGGCCTGCCTCTCCCCCACGCCACCCACCGCTGCTCCCCCTGCTGTCATCGCACCTCCTCAACCTCCCGCACTCACCGCCCCTCTCGCCTGCCTGCCTACTGCTGCCGCCTCTCCATCCCCCAGCAGCGGTGGCAGCATGGGCGGCAGTTGCTTAAGTCCCCATCCCGCTCATCTCGCTGTGCCTGCCTCTGTGCCTTTGCCTGCTGCTGCTGCTTCGGCTACTGCTGGCATTGCTGCTGCCGCCCCTGCTGTTGCTGCTCCACCCACTGCTGCCACAACGTTTCCACTTGCTGCTGCTGCTGAGATCAGCCCTCACCCCCTTGCCTCCTCCGCGCCTTCTCTCGCGTCTCCCTCACTCCCTCTCGACCCCCGCCAGAGCAGCTGGGCGGCACACCGCCGCCCAGAGAGCAGTAAGGCCAGCTCTTCTGTCTCTGCTGGTACTAGTGCTGCTGGCACTGCTGTTTCTGGCACTGCTGTTGCTGCCGCCATCCCGCCTCCCCTGCCAGGGCGCACTCTCAGCTGCAGCAGCCTCTCTCTCGCCCGCTCTCATGGCCCCACCCGCCCTCCGCTCGACCGCACCCTCAGTGGCAGAGCGCCGGCAGCAGTGCTGCAGACGCAGTCACAGGGAGCAGCGCACACAGGCCGCGGCAGCAGTAGCGGCAGTGGTGGGCAGGGGGTGAAGGAGCAGGAGGGGGTGGTGCAGCTGCTGTCGCGCGTGGCGACGGTGGATTGGGAGGAGGTGCGGCGGCCCATGTCCCGGGCGGCACAGTCCATCCAGTGCCACTGGGCCCGGCGCCGCCTCAGCTCCACCAAGCGCTGGGCGGATGTACCTGTTATAAGCCTCCCCGATTCAAGCGTGTCGGATGGCAGTTTGCAGGAAGGGGCGAGCAGGGTGAGGGGTGATGGGGTAGGATGGGGGTTTGGTGGGGAGGGGGAAATGGGGAGAGTGGGGCCGGCGTTGAGTGGAGTTAGTGACGTGTCTGCTGGGGCCGGGTCATGTGTGAAGGGGGTGTGAGGCGCCATGGATCTGGGAGGATCAGTGCAACTTCCAAGAGCACAGGTCGAGGTCGTTTATGGGGTTACAGCCTTGGTAGGCCACTGGGTCAATTAGTCCCTTCTTGCTTTATTCCAGCACACGTACCGTAAATGTCAGCTGTAGTTTGTTGTACAATAAAGGCAGCTCTACATTATTTATCAGCTACTAGCCTACAACATCTTATTCTAGGCTGGCTCCAAGAGGAGCAAAGAGCAGGGGACGACAGCAGTCAGCCACCCCCAGCTATTGCCCCCCATGCGCACAAGGCTAACTCGGAAGGGATGCTGCAGTGCACTGGAGTGCTGCACTGCCCAACAGGCAATGGGCCTGTGTTCAAAGCATATTAGGAAAACCTCTAACCTGTGCGTTAACAAGAGAAACAAACGCAGGCCTTATAGACGAGGAATTGGTGCGGGCAGTGACTAAAACGAGGGCGGAATAAGTCTTTGGCTCAGCCCGTGCACAATGATGCGCTCCCCCACAAACAGGTTCGGTATAGTCACAGCGGCGGGGATGATAGAGCGCCCCTGCAGCCATACGATCTTGGAGCCGCGGCTCGAAAACACCTTCAACTTGCTGCCCTCGGCGGTCGGCAGCAGGCTGTCTTCCCGCAGCGCCTTCAGATCCGCCAGAGTGTAGCGCGCGTCGGGTATAAGGTGGTACTTAAGGATGCGGTTGAAGTGCGGGTAATCGTAGCCGACGGCGTCCGCCAGCACGCGGAAGCCGCTCAGCGGAAGGAACAGCGTCGCGGAACCTCCTCTCCGCGCGTCGACTGATGGGCGGACAGCGGGAGGGGGTCCGAAGGGGGGAAGGTGAGGGGGGGGAAGGGGGGAGGGTAGGGAGTGGTGAAACCGGGAGTGAAGTGGATGGAGAGCGGAACACTATGCGGAGAGAGGGGGGGGGGGGTAATGAGCGCGGAGCAAGGAGCTGCGGATGATTGTCGTGAAGCGCAGACGAGGGGGCGCAACGGCGCGGGATGGGGCATGCGCGGGGCGGGTCAAGTAACCGCAGCGGATGAAAAATTGCGTTTTCAACAAAAAGCGAGTAAGCGACTGAGCTCAAGGCTAGGCGGGCACGCGGCGGGAAGCCGCTGGAGGGGCGATACGGACAGAGCGCTTGGAGGAAAGGCGCGTTGGCCATGGCTGTCCGCGGCGCCTTCACGAGCAGCGCCGTCATGGCTCTCGCCTCTTCGACTGCGTCCGCAGAGTTTGTCGTTCCCTTGTCGATCGCCCCGGCTTCCGTAGTCTTCGCCACCGATGGCGATAGCCGCCTCCCGCCCTCCGCTCCTTCCCCCGCCAGCACTGCAGGTAACGTTAGCGCAACAAGCAGACAGAACGCCGATACCCTCCCGATGCTACCCATCGCGCCCATGAGTAATAGCTGCTGATTGTAACACTTCGCCTTTTGCGCAAAATAAACTTCGAAAGCCTTCCAGAAGGTGATCGTGGGTGTCGTCAATCTCAAATGCGCCGCATCCGGCACTTCACGATTTTAGACGTCTATCTAGCTCGTATCAAGGCAAAAGTAGATCATTCGTCCTTATCGTCGCTCATGCACCGTCCGTGGAGTCCAGGCTGCTAGTGATGCTGTACAGTCTGCTCTGCAACATCTCGTCGTCTTATCATGCTTGATGCCTCTGCTGCTCATAGCCCTCGCCAGCCACCAAAAGCGAGGGAGTGGTGGATGGATATGGTGCGATGAATTTGGTCGGAACTTGGGGCTTCGGGGTTCGGGATGGGATGGGACTAGAAATGTCACCACAATTGGCAATTGGCACTGGAAGCGAAGAGCAATGTCTTGCAGATACGTACATTCGAATTGTGGGTCGGATTAGAACGACACATTATTGACTGTCCGATGGTCGATGCCAAGACGTCGATAAGGTGTTTCCATCGTCCGATCGAGACCGACAGCGCGCCTTGTGATCATGCAGCTCAGCGACAATCTTGAGAACAACACGTGAACAGCGACACGAGTGAATTTTCGAGCATGTGCCGCAGCTGGCGCATCAAACTCGATTACAGTGCACTCGCTTACTAAAGTGAACCATTTGACGTGTAACATAGAATATATGTTTTCGTACACACAGTCCTCGCCAATTTCACGCCCCGTCAGTTCTTCCTTAAAACCAAACTGACCTTATTTGGCTATAGGGGGTAAGACACCCACGAACTAGAGGCTATCCGAGGCATTGTGACGTTTCGATGTTTGCCCCTTCTGACGTTGAGATTGCAACGCAAAGACTGAATCTTCCACTGCGACCATGTTTCTTTTGTTTTTCCGCTGACTCATGTGCGCAGTCCAGGTCTTTGGTTTCCTTAAAACCAAACTGTTTGAAACAACCCTTAAATTGGGGTGAATGTAAAATGAATACACAGGGGGGTGAAACTGGCCCTAGTGAAGTTGGCGAGGACTTGGTGTATATTCATCCCCTGGATGTTTACATTTGTTTCCATCTTACTTTCGAGGATGTGCCGCAGCTTGCCAATACTCAATTACAGAGCACTCGCTTGCTATTATTGAACTTCGACGTGTAGCAGGTAATATATATTATCTGTATTATTAAAACTGACTACTAGCGAAGTTACGTACGAAGCCTAGTTTCCATTTCAAAATGTAATAGCCACTCTTGACTTTTCTCTAGTTCCAACACTAGATAGTCAATGCACAAGCAACATTTTGCTGATCATTGCAAATTCCCTGTACAATTACTGCATAGCACATCCCCACAGCTCTCTGACCAACAGGGCACAGCTAGTGCAAAGCATCATCCCACACCATGTTCGGGAATCCACAAGCTGTGCGTCCTTCCGAGCATTTATAATATCAACAACGTGCTATTACACCCACTGGGGCACTGCTAGTAGCAATACCTGTGAAGCTCTTTGCCCTGGCTGAGAAGCTTCAGCTTGCGCACAGCCACTGTTTCAAGCTGTCTGATCCTTTCTCTAGAGACTCCATATCTGCGGCAAAAAAAAAAAACATTAGTGAGCAGGCCATACAGAGTACACAGGGAGCGAAAGCAGTAAAAACTTACCGCTGGCTGATCACATCTAGAGTCATTGTCCTTCCATCTGTCCTCCCAAATCCAAATCTTAGGCGGATGATGTCCCGTTCTCGAGGATCAAGCTGATCAAGCAGCACATTCTTCACATTGGCCTGAAAGCAGAGCATAGCACATGAGAAACCAAAACTTTGACAGAAAAACTTGACAGCGAAGATGCACATGAATCAGTCACCTGCAAGAAATCCGCTTCCAGCTCTTTCCAGGGGCGAGTTTCCGCATCTGGATCTGCAATGAACTGAAAACAGAGATAACAACGTTTTAGAGAGTCATGACAAAGGACGACCACGTAGTACAAAAAAAATGTACGAGTACTCACGTTGTCCATTGTCGAGCCCTCTTCCATGCGGTTGTTTGGCGATACTTCCTCGTTCATGGACCTAGTCTTGTACTTGAGCTGCAATATACCAGACAAAACGTTCAGGCGTTGGATAATGTAAGCCAAGTACAAGAAAAGCGTTACCATGCACAAGATATCCACTGACCTTGAGGACGTTGTCAATTTTCCGCTCTGACAATCCCAAGGTGTTGGCGAGATTCTGCAAACAGGCGGACGCATTGAAATCAGATCAGGTTGGCCTCAAGTGGTTTGCAACAAATTTGGCGGCACATGACTCACCTTGACATTGGCTAGTTCCCCTTCGCTCGCAAGCTGTGCCTTCGCCCTCCGCAATCTTCCGAGGGTCTCGTGCACATGGACAGGCAGTCTGATCGTGCGGGAGTGGTCGGCAACAGCCCGTGTTACCGCCTGAACGACAGAAGTGGGAAAGAATGAAGTCAGCAAACGCTGGCAGCAACTAATAGGATAAACCAGAGTTCGAAGGTATGACAGCTCCTACCTGTCGGATCCACCAGTGAACGTAAGTGGAGAGCTTGTAGCCTCTGTTCGGATCGAACTTCTCCACACCTTTGGACAGGCCCATTGTTCCAGCCTGAAAAGCAGACCGGCCAGCGCAATTGTACTGAGATACACTTCTTACTCGAATGAACGACACGTATTATGCAGTCACCTACCGCAACCAGATCGGAGAGCTCGACCCCACATCTTAGGTACTTCTTCGCCACAGAGACTACCAGACGCAAGTTTGTCGCAAGCAGCTTATGCCTAGCCAGCTCCCCCTCTCTCAGCTTCCTCCTCAGTGAGTATACCGAGCAGCCTTGCGCCTTAGCCCACTCGGAGTGGGTGGCCTCTCGACCAAGCTCCTCAGAAACTCTGAAACAGCAAAACGGAAGACATTCAGCAACAAGGCAGAAGGAACAGAAGGAACGAGGACAGAAGAGGTATCGAGGCCTACCTGGCTCGTAGATTTTGGAGCTCCACAGACTTCTTGACTCTCCTGGATAATTCAATCTCTTCTTCCCTTGTCAGCAGCTTGGCCTTCCCAATTTCGGTAAGAAAAGTTGCAAGAAAATCGCTCGACGACTCCTTCTCGCTAACGTCCCCCTTGCCTTTGCTTTCTAGACCCACACGGAAAACATTGGCATCTGCTGTCTGGTCTTGCAAATCTCGGTTGCGTCTGGCCTGCATACGGCGCTTCCTCGCAGACATGCTTTTGGTAACAACTATGTTTCTGCTAGCCTTTTTGGAACTGCTGGCCTGAAGAGGTTCAGGGACATTTTCTGAGAGCTCGGGGTCCTTTGAAGGAAGCTCCCACTGTGATTCCAGCAACGACCGTTCAGTCTCCTCTTCACTCAGTTCCTTTGTGAGGGCAGCTTCGTCCACCCCTTCCGGAAACTCGCAGTCCAAAAGGAATTCTCTCCCGTATAAAGAATTTTCGAGCATCAAAAGGTCAGAGACTGACGACAGGGGAGAAATGGTCGTAGCCAGAGGACTAGGAAGGGTAGTGACTGCTTTTACTGGCTCTGGACGTTCCTGCTTTCTGCGGAAGTAGCTAGCATGTGGAGACTTGGGTGAGCGAAGGGCACAGACAGCACACTGCTTGCATACTTGGGAGGCGGAAGGTGGGCACTTAATAGTTAGTGAAATGGATGCGCCATGAAGCTCGCTGGCGGAGGATGAAGCAACTACGAGTCCACCGACTACGGGAGTGGTCAGAGAGGCAGCCATGGCTGGCAGATGAAAGGCACAGTTGATCTTCCGTTCCGAGTGTGGTGATTGGAGATCCTGTAGGTCGGAGGGCCTCGTCACTCGGGGGTAAGTCACCCAGCCGACCTAACTGGATGAAGGTTCTAACTCACTCTTCAGGAGAATAAAGAAGCAGGTGCTTCTCTCAGGGGGCATCAGTGCCATTGGTGCAACTGGAGGGGAGCCAGTTCGGTTGGTTTGGCGAGACAAGGCGAAGCATGCACCGTCGTCACTGCTCCGTCATGCTCGAATGACATTCGAGATTCCGGCCCATCTGAACCGTAGGATGCGGCAGATCGAGAGTAACGGAGCATGGAGAACCATCGACGAATTCCAAGGGGATTGCTTGGAGCTTCTGTGTTCTTATTGGTTGTTCCGATTTCTTCGTGGAAGGAATGAATTCTGAAGCGAATGAGCGACGATGGGGGGGATTTGCGACGCGCTGTGGGGGATGTTCATTCCTCATCCCGCATTGGCTCATGTCCAGGTGGCGTCCTCTTTATGCAGTTTTCTTGCAGCGGAGTTTGAACTGAACACCTTTGCCTAGTGGTAGGACAAAATATAATATAATGAGCTCGTTGTAATCACATGAGCACACGTCTCCACCAAGTGACCAATTTCCTTCAAATTTCTTTCCCTTCCAAAAACACGACGTATTGAATGACTTCTGTGGTGATTTTGTATAAATGAGTCCATTGCATTGCAGTCTGTCCAAAGCTAGAATGACACACATGCATGTGCGCATAATGAAGTACATTAAAATGCATCCAAGATATGAGTACTCTGGTTCATCCTCTCTCAATTTTGGGCATCATTTGTGCATGTGCAGTAAAAACCACGCTACCTGTGCCTAGACACATTCGATCATTGTACATGAATTATTTTGTGTCTCTGACAGATGTTGTATACGGTAGCAAGGCTTGTGGTGGTTGGACTCGCCACCAGCCTGCCTTGCAAGCAACCTTGCATTCACTGCATTCATGCAAAGTGGCTGCTAACTGCAAAAATCACTGCACAGCTTTCTGGCAGCTCGAGACAAGCTTGTTAACCCCCTTCTCCATCCTGTACAATGCGTCCCTCTCCTGCTGCGTATGCTCCCTCCCCGACCAGAGGAACCTTCACGAGCTCCATGGTTTTAGCATCTTGCTGATGATGTGAACAGTGACAGTCTTGGTTGAATACACGTCACCTGCCAGCACTACGGCCTGGTCATTCGCCTGCCCCTCAACAATCACCAAAGGCACAAACCTTTTTGTTACTCTCGTTAAGGAGCGCCCTGATATAGTGCTCAACGTCTTTCCGTTCTTAAAACCATTCATAACGCTGTAGGTGAACCGTCCTTTCACTATATGATAGGCCATGAGGGGCAAGAGCTGCTGCGAAGGGTACTTCTTGATGGTCGTGCAGTAGTCGAGCGCCTCTAGCGGGACCAGCAGCGTGTAGGGCGCGTTGAGTGTGCCGTTGACTGTGTTGACCGTGTTGACTGCAGCAACGACGGAGGGAGAAGGGAAGGCAAACGGGTCTCAATGAATGAAGGTCGGAAGCTGGGTCGCGGCTCAGGAAGGCATCCTGACGTGCGGGTACTATTTGAAGCGAGTGCTGATGGCGGGGGAGCGAGGAACGATGCACAGGTGGGGATACAAAACGGCGACGGAAGAGGTTGACAGATGGAGGCTGCATTAACAAGCCGTTGAACGGAACAGAGAGAAACAGGAGGAGTGGGGAAATGGAAGTTCAAGAAGGAATTACTCAGAATCTGCAGATATGGCGCGGCCTGGCTGTACTTCGATAGGAGCAGCGCTTTGACGGCGCTCGCCGCCACTGACGAGGATATCACAGGGGAGGCGCCGCCTCCGCTACCCGGCGCGGCTGGTTTTCTAGCAGCAACGATTGTCGCCTGCGATACTAGCGACAAAGCAAAGACTGCTAGGAGCAATGAAAGCAGGAGCGGAACGGAGCGACACGTGGAGGGGATGGCCATGACAGATATAGGAATGATAGGACAAGGGGAGCCAAAAAACTGTACAAGGATTCAGTATTACGCAGCACAGAGATTCTATTATTACCCTTGACCAGCGAACATCGCGTGGCGGACCTAATTTTCTACGGTTTTTCTACGCAACAGGCTGAATGATAATATGAACGAATCTACGAATGGGAACTCCGTGGTAGAGTTTGCGCAAAGGCGAGAGTTGGCAGCGAAAGGACGCTCGGAACGGAGATCTGCTTCATTCCCTAGTCCTACACTCGTTGGTGGAGGTCGCACCTGGCGCTGTGTCGCTCCCGCTCCCACAGGCTGGCTGGTGCGCCCACCAGTGTAGGATGACCTTCCATAGCTGGCGGCGAAACATTTCGCTCATCACCTGTTGTTGTCGGCGCAGGGGCGGTCGGGATTTCCTGCGATTCGCCAGGTTGGAAACCCCTGAATATCGCTCGCAAACCGGTGACATGGTTTGTCGATCGGGTAATCAACGGTTGAGCAACCAAAGTGTTTATGAGAAAATTAAAATCATTTTCCAGCCTTCGCGGCACATTGTGAGAGGTCCAACAACTGGATGAATAGAACGCAGTATTGATCCCATTCCCATAACCCAAACGCTTCATGCCAGTGAATAGAACGCAGTACAGTATTGATCCCATTCCCATAACCCCAACGCTTCATGCCAGCCCCCATGTGAGTATTAATCCAGACACAATGTGAACGGTGAAGAATGGTGAAGTGTAAACATCAAGCTGCAGGACCTGAACAGGCAGCACCCTCTCCCACAACTTCCCTGGCTTCTTCCTCCTCTGGAATATTCCGCCCAGCCTCTTCCACAGAGGCGGATAACCAGAGAGAAGGGCTGAGTTAGGCAGCAACGGTCCATTGACCTTACGAATAGAGTGACGGCGAAAGAAGGTGCGCAATCGCGCGCCGCGAGGCAGAGCCGTCAACCTCTCTTGCGTATAGAGCCCTTTGACGACGTGGAAGGCGAGGAGGTGGAGGAGTGAACGGGCCTTGAAGCCCTTGAGGGAGCGGCAGAGCTGGTTGGGGTTGATTGGCACGAGAAGCGTCACGGGGGTCACGGAGAGGTTGAAACCCGACGAGTTCGCGCTCGCCTCCGAAATGGTGCTCACTGGATCAGACACGTCACCCAAAGGTGGGGGGGAGGAATCAAGCTAGGGGTTAAATAAATTTGTAACCCGCAGAGCCAGAAACACCACCGCGGAGGAAGAACGCAAGGGTTTTTTGTTGAAAAGCATGCGGTGGCAAGCTTTCGACTGTGCTGGTATTGCTTGAGGGACGAGAGCGGGGGGCTGACGTATGGCTTGCAGCATGGGCGCCGACGAGCTGTACTGGGGCAGGCTCAAGAGCGCGCGCATCGCTTTCCCCGCATGCCGGCCAAAATCCCATGCGTTGGCTACAATCGGCGGAAGTGTCACGATCATGGAGGCCAGGAAGAGAAGTAGCGCGGGACCGAGTCGGCAAGAAGCCATCGTTGACTCGTCAAAGATGGTAGTACCGCGAGAACGAGTAGATAATCAGAAAAATTACACGCGTAGCGCACACAAGAAGTCGCTCGTATGAACCAAGAATTACAGCTGCTGTGAACAACGCCACTGTCCATGGCGAGTTATCGCTGCGCTTCTTGACAAACTTGTTTTTTTTTTTTTTTTTTTTTTTTTTTTTTTTTGGTGGACATAAGTACACTACATGTATACATACATCCGCAGTCGTAACTGTTGCTAGGAGGGCATGCATAGGTCACAAGTAACCCTACCCCCCTTGTCCTTTTACGGTGGTTGATATGCTACACCGCCATCTTGCCAGATCGCCTTGAATCCCGCCCTCCACGTCATCGAAGCCTCGTTCTCATAAAGCCTCCGCATAGCAATCGCCTCGTCAGCATTCAGGTGACTCCAGTCCCCCGCCCTACTCGAACCACTCCTGCCAGCCGCCCTCATCCGCACCCTGCTGTAAATCTTCACGTGACGTGTGAAGCCAACCGCAATGCGCCTCATTGCCCTCTTTGGTTGGAACCGACTGCCACGGAAGACCGCGTTGCACCTCTCCAACCACACTTGGTGTGCTGTGATGGAAATAATTGCAGCCTCCGGGAAGCCAGACGTCGTGCCATTCTTCTGAAAAAGCATGTCCCCGAGAGACCTCATGTCCCTGCCCGGATTCATGCACTGCACCGCCTTCTTCATTGCCCCCACCACTGGCTGTATCACCAGGCAGCTGAAAAGACAGTGGTCCTGTGATTCCACTCCGCCACAATGCGTGCATTTCGCCCTTGCACCCAGGAAGGGGAGTCTCTCTCCTACTTGGAGATTGTTACTGTGCACCCTCAGCACCACCTCACGTGCTCTGCATGGGGTTGCCAGCGAGTCACAGACTGTGATGGCCTTCCCCCAGTCGATCTTTCTCCCCAGCTCCTCCTCCCATTTCAGCTGCTGCTTTGGCTGCGCCGCCGAGGGTTTCATTGCCTTCCTCAGCTGCTTTAGTCCCGCTCTCTCGCCTTTCTCGCAGATTGTAGAATAAAGTAGGCGCGTTCTTGGGGCCCCCAGCACGCCTCGGACCTTCCCTTCTATGACCGCCATAGGGGAAGCGCTCCGGAATTCAACCGAAACCACGCTGGCGTACTCCACCGCAGATATAAAACCTTTCTTATCGACCGTCATCCTCCGACCGTAAAGTTCGCCGTTGTTCACGTACTGCAGTTGGTAGTAGAAACATTCTCCCGGCCGGTATGAGGCTGTGCGGATTAGCCTTGTCTCCCTGAAAATTTCCTCTGCCGACAGCTGTCCGAGTATCAGGTCTTTCCATCCCTGCGGCGCCGCATCCCATGCTTTCAAAGCCCACTTCCTTTGCTCCACTCCGCCCAGCTCCCTTTCCAGGTCCGCTTCGCTCTTACGAGTCCTGCTGCCGTCTCTTCCTTTAACCACCAGGTCCCCCAGCCGGATGCCCTTCAAACAGAGAGAGCCCGCCTGGTTTCCAAAGGGCGATTTGCCTCTGAAGAAGATATTACGGTTGAAAAGTAGCTGCTCCTCCTCTGCGTCCCACCTGTGAGCCGGGTCACCTATGACCACAATCTTTGAGTCCCACAACGCTCTCACGGCAGCTTTCCACCTCAAGCCCCCTCCCAGCCAATACTTCAGGATCGAGGGGTGCGCGTAGATCGTGGCCAGACCAAGCGGGAACGCTGCCGCTCTCTCCCATAGCCAGTTCCGAAGTGGCTCTTGCTCTGCTAGAGCCTTCCCCAAGCCCTGGATCACCGTGCTGTCAATCCGATGCTTCAGATCAATCACTCCTAGCCCCCCGTCTTTTCGACCTCTACATGACAGATCGTAACTCCAGAGTGTAAAGTGTATGTCCAGGAGCGCCTTCCCTCCAGAGATGAAGTTGTGGCACAGCCGCTTCACCTTGGTCCATACTTCGTGCGGCGGGGCGTAAATCTGCGCCTGAAATAGCAGGATCGGCATCGCGTAATTGTTTATGATTGTGACCCGCGCCGAGGTTTTGAGGTGTTTCGTCTCCCAGCAACTCAGCACCGCGCTGACTTTTTCGAAGGCTTTGTCCCATGCAGGTCCCGGCGAGCCCCCAGAAGTGATCCAGATTCCGAGCAGCCGCTCCGACGTGTTCTTATTCGCCCATTTGAAAGGCGACACTATCGGCTGCAGTCTCCTTAAGTTCTTCCCCAGCGGCATCAACGTCGTTTTGTCGTGGTTCACCTTCAGCCCCGAGATCTCCGCAAACTCCCCGAGCAGTTTCCCGGCTGCCTCCACCTGCTCTTTCCCTTTCAAGACCAGTGTCGTGTCGTCTGCATATCCGATGTATGCTAGGTCCCCTTTAACGCTTCGCTTCCTGACTCCCAGCTTCCTCCTCTCTATTTCCTGGCAGAGTGGTTCGACCGCGCATAGGAAGAGATACGGGGCGAGCGGACAGCCCTGACGCACCCCTTTGGCCATCTCCACCCGCTCCCCTACCCAGCCGTTCAGCAGCACCCTGGTTGCCGCTCCCTCATGAAGACCCTTCACCCATCCGGTGAATTTACTCGGGAACCCATGGCACTCAGCGTCGTGAACAGGTGCTCTCGTGATACGGAGTCGTAAGCCTTTTGGAAATCAACCAGCAGCAGCAGCCAGTCCTCGTCCTCTTGCTCTGCAGCGTCTATCGCGTCCGCCACCAGTGAGACCGCATCGGCGAGACTCCTTCCCGGGAGGAAGCCGAACTGGTTCGGCGATATCACTTTAGGTAAGACCTTCCTGAATCTGTTCGCCAACACCTTCGCCAGGAGTTTGTAGAAAAAACTCAAAAGTGTGATCGGCCGATAGTTACCCACATCGTCTCTGCTTCCTTTTTTGTGCAGAAGAATCGTGACCGCCGTCGTGAAAGCTTCCGAGAGTACGCCCGTCGACTCGAAGTCACGGATCTCCCTCATCACCGCCGGGCCCAGCAACCCCCAGTTTCTCTCAAAAAATTCCTTCGGCAGACCATCCTGTCCCGGGGCTTTCCCCACCGGTAAGCTCTTGAGCGCCGCTTTCACCTCCTGTTCTGGCCAATCTTTGTCTAACTCCAAACGGTCGTTCTCCTGCAGCACCCTTCCTTTTTCAATCGGCCATGGTTCCCCGGGAGAAGGCGCCGGTGACAGCGCATAGGCCTCTCGGAAGTGTTCCGAAGCCGCCTTCAGCACCTCACTTGCTCCCCTCCGCAGCACTCCCTTAAAGGTAAGCTCCGTTATTTCCGTCTTCGCTTTCCTCGATTTAACCAATCCTGACAGAAAGGCTGATGGTGTCTCTCCCGCCAATTCTTGCAGCAACCCTGACAAGACCTGCAGCCTCTCCTTGTTGTTGTCCTGATAGAGCTTGAGAGCCGCTTCGATTTTAACCAGCTCCTCATACAGGACCTGCGAAGAAGGCTCCGCCATCACTTTCCACCTGAGCTCCTCCACTTTCCTTTCCAAGTGTACCATAGTCGCTTTGACCCTTTTCCTTTCCTCTGCGACGTGAGCCCTCATGCTTGCACGCAGGCTTGTCACCAGCCTCTCCAGACCCTGCACCGGTTGAGACGCATGTCTCTCTACCACCGCCGATATGATGTTTCTGACGCCTTCACCTCCCGCCTGCGGCGCCTGAAGCCTCCACAGCCCAGGACCATGGTCGTCCGCCGATGCCGACTTGAGCGAGACCATCACCGCGAACCAGTGATCCGTCAATCCGTAAGGTACCATTTTGTGCTTCGCCTCCGTTACGCAGCTGAGTAGTGAATGTGAGACTAAAACCCTGTCAATCCTTGTGCTTGTCCTTGCAGACCTTGAGAAGAATGTGTATTCCTTTCTGGTTGGATGGAGGCAGCGAAAGGCGTCCTGCAGGTCCCACCTCGAGCAAATCTGCAGGAGCCGCTGATTTTCCGCTGGGGTACCTAGCTTCGAAGACTTGTCCAGCTCCGGGTCTGCTACGATGTTCAGGTCCCCAAGGAAAACAGTGTGTGGAGAGCTTCCTAAGCTCTGTACGAAGGGTGTTAGTACCTCGCGGTAAAAGGTCCCCCTAGCTGTCGCCTGCGCAGGTAAGTACGCTGCTACCACTCTGCACCGCAGATCACGCCATGTTACGAGCAAGCTTAGGAGCCGGCCTGACTCATGCTTAACTACCTTCGTGAACCGCATCCCTGGCAGGAAACCCAAGACAGCCACTCCTCCAGCCCTCTGCGCCGGCCCGACCACCGCCTGGGCTTCAGTTCTAAGTTGTGTCCAGAAGTTATGGTCTGATGAGACTCGCGTGTCGGTGAGTACCACAATGTCTGCTGCTTTCTTGATCCATTTACCGCATCGTTCTTGTTTCCCACTGCTACCGAGCCCGTTGATGTTGAGCTCGAGAAATTTGAGGTTGTTGTGTTCATTCATTAAACCACTCCTTTGAGCCCCACAGCATCCACGGGCGATTGAGCTTTATTGCGACGATACAACCAGCTACAGCGAAAGAGAACATGACACCAACTACACAGCTTGTTCCCAAGATCCACCATGCGGCTTCATCCATTCCTTTCCAACCGCCGTTATCCTCCGGACCGCTGCTTACTTCACCACCGGTTTGACCATGAAATCCTTCTTGAAGGCAGCCATCTTCTGAGAGTGTTTGCTGGCACGTGTTGCCGCTCCTTCTGTACGTAGACCCCCCTTGTGCCTGGCAGATGCAACATGTGCCGCTGCTTGTTCGAAGCGATTCCCCTGCGCCTTCTCGCATACGGTTTGCACACACACCCACTCCTCCTGCATTCCTCCTGTGGAGGTGAGTATAACGGCGGGGTCCTTCAGGATACGTTTCACGAGAGTGGAGGCTTTCAGAGATGCAGCTGCGAGGAGAGTTGGGGGGAAAGCCGTCAGTACAGGTTAAGAGTGAAGAATTCAGCGACAACGAGCACAGAGGAAGAGGATGCGGAGCAGCCTGACGTATACCGTTCATCTCATGAACCTTTTTAACCGACAGGTTCCAGTTGGTGAAGTTCTCCTGCCTTGTAGTGATATAGCGGTCATGATAGCGGGACAGGTGTGGACCGCTGCAGAGCTCGCATGTGAGTGACGGATAATGAAGCAGGTAGCGTTTCTTCGTCGTCGGGTCTTCCACGAAGTACCTCCAGCGGTACTCGTCGTCAGCATGAGGGGTAACCAGGCCACGAATACGGTCTGTGTCAAGTCCAGTGACTGGGTCAAGCGTACGGTGGAAACCAAACCCGCTGGCGAAGGCACTCCTGCCACGCTTAACCAGCTTCGATACCACCAGCAGATGACGGACAAGCTCAGCAGTGATCTCGGCTGGCACACCCTTAACAACAACCTCCTGCGCCAAAGGGTTCAGAACCCGCTCGCGAAGAAAGCGAGCATCTTCCGGGTATTGCCAGGTAAGATCAATGATGTCTCCATTTACGCATTCGTGCTTGATGACTTGATTCCAGACGTAATTAGCATCTCTGACATGATTGAAGGTGACCTGCAGCCGACCATAGCGATTGCCGGAGAAATATGTTGGCGTGAGATCCTGGTAAGTAGTCGTCTGCAGCACATCCGGGGACAACTGATCCCTCCAGTCGTCCAGCAGAGCTGCAATCGTTACCGCTGCACGCTTGACTTCCGCTTTCCTGAAGATCGGCACCAGTAAGGTTAGTGTGAAGCGTTTTAAAGCCAAAGCACTGGTAAGCGAAGCAGGTTCAAGATGTTCGTCCGAGTCGTCACTTAGATATCCATCATCCTCATCCTCTGGGACCAGGTCTGACAAGTCCTCCTCGTCGTCGTCTTTGTTGTCGCCAGCAGCAGCAGCTTCCCCTTCTGGTATCTGGTCCTTGGGTCCAGATCCTTCTCCTTGACCAGCGTCACCATCACCGGAGTCGTCCGCATTATCCTCCTTGTCCTGCAGGTCATGTAGGTCCTCGAAGGGTCCAATCACAGCAGGGAGCCGTGGAGTGGAAGGCTTGCCAGGTCCAGCAGCGTCCGGCACAGGTACGTCAGGTACAATCTCTCCCGTCTCCTTTCCATGAGCATCATTGTCCGTCTTCTTGCTCGACTTGTTGTTGCGTCCCTTCCCCATTGTGCGATGATGATGATAGCTTGACAGCCCAGAAAGGCTGAGAAGCAAGCTGATCTGAGCACTGAAGAGTCCGACAGTTTATATTTCTTGTGTTTGAAAGCAAATCTCTGCAGGTCAAGACCCGAGGAAGGATGTGAATCCTTTGGGAATGACGTATCGTCTCGGGAAGAGCACGCCTTGAGGATAGATGCCTGTTGAAAGTTGTCTGCATGGAGATTGACGAAATGTAGTGTCTTTGCCAGTAATGACTCGCGATGGAATCCATGGAGTAGCCCGTAGCCTTGGTTCTTGTTGCATGTCTTTAACTTGCATGATGATAAGTGTGACTTGGACGATAGCCTGGAACTCCAATAAAAGGTGTTTAGGTTCCCGTAATGAACACTAAAAATACACCACTGTGTAGAGCTTGCAGTCGCGCATCATCTAAGCGTAACATTGTCATCCACAGGCAAGAAATTGTTGCACATTGACCAAGTTAAAGCTCTCCGCAATGGCCATGGCGGCATTGTCATGGATGCAGTCGTCATCGCTGTAACCGTCATGATTGGTCGGTGTGGTTGAGAGAGTTGGACAAAACGTTGTGCAACGCAAAACATTGTCTGGTGCTGTGGATTTTGAGAGGTCTGGTGCTGTACAAACTTGTGAAGTGAGGATCTGGCAAAGAAGACTCAGCCTAAGACGCAGCGCGCGGTGACACAACAAAATGACGATTGGGGAGAGAGGAACAGCTGTAGTTCAGCAGCAGCGACGGTGGGCGTGGATTGCCTGTTCCCACCGTCCACTGCTTGATTGGTTGCGAAATGACGAGCTTCAACGCTCCGCGATATGATGATCGAAGTGTTGCGAAATCGAGCTTGTGGTTTAATTTGTTGCCAATAACCGAATTAGTTACAAAAGAATGCCATATGAGTCAGGTCAGGGTGTATGTAGATTTAGTACGAATTAGTTACAAAAGAATGCCATATGAGTCAGGTCAGGGTGTATGTAGATTTAGTATCAATCTTTCCCGAACCAGACTTTCTTCTTCGAGCCTACACTAAGAGAGGATCCCTCAGCCACAAGTCTCTGGGACTTGGCGTCATTGTGACCATGATCCTGCACTGGACCCGGGACAGAGGCGCTCGTAGGGAAGCGCCGTCTCGCATTAACTGGAGAAGAGGGAGAAAGGATTGCCGGGTTTGGCACCGACTGAACTGAATGCAGTGAGCTTTGGTGCCTGTGACCAGGCAACCGGGAAGCTGAGTGTGCTCTATTGACCGAAGTCGTGTTGGAGCCATGGTTTCTGGAAGGGGAAGCTCCACCATCAGGTGACCCGCCACCACCCTTGCTGCCAGCAGCCGCTGCCATGCACTTGACCCTCATGCGGAGCCCCTCGGTCTGCCTGAGCTCCGCCTCCCTCTGTGCGCTGAGCCCCTCCAGCATCGCCCACAGCTCCTGGTTCTCCCTCTCCACCGCTGCCACCACTGCCACATGCTCCTCTATTGTCACGCTCGTGTTCGTCACATCCGCCCGAGGCGTGGCGGCTCTGGGCGTGGGGGCCATCCAGGTGTGCAGGGCGGCCTCCATCTCCTGCGCCAGGGCGTCGCGCTCCCCCTGCGCCACCTTCAGCGCCTCCTCCGCGCGCTGCACCTCCCCCAACCGCACCTGCAGCATCTCCCTCAGCTGCGCGTTGGCGCGCGTCAGCTCCTCCACCTGCCGCGTCAGCCCGTCCACCTGCCGCATCAGAATCTCCTGAGCTTTGCAGCAGTCGCCGTGTGCACTATTCTCCCTCGCGTCACCTCCCCGCACATCCTTCAAGCCTGTCCGTCTCTGTTCCCCTGCGTCCCCCTTCGGGCTCCCCGCACCGCCCTCTCTCGGCGTCGTGCTCTTGTCGTTTTCTGCCATCAGCCTATCGCACACCGCCCAAACCCCCGCCTCCTTCCCCTTCCTTCCGCGCTCGTCTCCCACTGTCTGCCGCCCGAGCCCGCTGCTCAGTCTCCTGCCGCCGCTGCCGCACCTCCCCGCGGCCGTCAAGGGGCGCTCCGGCCGATCGGAAAGCGATTTTTCAAGCACGTTGCGCCTCAGATCACCCACCCTGCCCGCTTCTCCCTGCGCCGCGCGCGCTGCTCCCGTGGAATGCTCAGCGCGTTCTGACTCTGCGTGCCGCCGCAAGTCCAACGGACTAATCAACCCCGGAGAGGTGCTGTCAGCGCCGCGTCTGCTGCCGCCCACGCGGCCGCTCGAGCGAGGCCGCTCAGCTTGGGCCGAGAATGACCTTCCTTGAAGCTTCCTACGCGCGACTTGCTCTGCGGGAAATCCAGAGCTGGAAACTTCAGACGGCGTGCCGCAACGGGGAGATTCCAAAAACTGCGCTGGCGACTCCGATCGAGCGCGCTGCATTGTGGAACGCGGGCCGGTTCTTCCAGTGCCTCGCGAATTCAGAGGACTGACCGCATCGGGTTGCGTCCGCGAGGCGGAATTATTCATCCGAAGCTCCGCGGGGTCGAAAGTGTCCAGCGCATTGACTCGAGCAGCCGGGGAGCGCGGAGTGTGAGTAAAACGTGGGGAAGGGGACGATCCCGAAGGGCCTTCCCACGAGATCGATTGCGGCACGGGACCCGCTGGCCGCCCCGTGGTGTTCGACCTCGTGTTCGCCCTTCGCCCGCCAGCCGCCGCGCTGTGCGGTCGGGGCTCGTCTGTGGCGGTCTCGCCTGTGAGGAGCCGCACCGCCAAATGCCGCGCTGCACCTGACGCCATTATCGCGTCCACGGCGTTGCTGCTGGCTACCGATGATATACGCGATAAAAGCTCGTCAATTTCGTACTGCGTGAATTGCTGACGAGGGTCAGCGGCTATTCTGACAGACGCCATGCTGTGATTGATTGGTATTGGTGGACGCTTAGCAATTGCGTGTCGCGTTTCAATCCTATTTCAATATGCGCACGTGCATACGAGAAACCGTTTGTGCTGGCCCAGGACGCATAGGGAGTTTGAGGTTGAACCGGGGGGCGAGGCCCAGTTGTGTGGGTGATCCGCCTTCAGAGTGCTCAGGGTGAGGAGTGAAAGGTTGGGCGTAGAGTAAGCTAGATTCACACCAGAAGGGTCTTGCGATGGTAGTGACGGGACGAGTGGAGAGGGGTGGAGTCGCTGAGCACATATGTACGGCGCCGAGCTTCGGTCCGGAAGTTGCTCCTGATCGTTCCCCCAAGTGTACCAACACCCCACTCCCAACCAAACACACCGAAACCTGGTTCTGGATGCTGAAAAAACCGGGGTGACCGAGAAGATGCATTTCCCATACTTGTTTTCTTGTGGCGCTTCAGACAGGAAGACACCACCTATTGCAAACTCGACAAGCAATAGATCGCGACTGCTGAACATTGTTAGCAGCCACCAGCCAACCATCGGGTGCTTCTGGAACGAAAAAAACAGGTCCCTTCAATAACACAGCCTCGCTAGCAGGCCCATTGCACAGGCTGGAAGTGTCAGTTGGAAACGAACAGAAGTTCAGGCAACGGATGGTCAGAGTGTGTGCGAGGTGTGGCCAGTCAGCCAGAGCTAGCTGGCAGAATCCACTAAACGACAAGTATCGAGGCTTGTTGAATCCCAACCAGCCGAACGAAGTCACCTCTCACGACTTTCAAATAGCTGTCAAAATTCTGTAGTGGAGCAAAGGTTGGTTGCGTTGGCCCTGAAAGAATGTGGGTTGGCAGGCTGGGCCCTCGTGTTGACCCAGTCTGTCAGCCTGGGCCATGTGCCATGCCAATGGTACAATCACCTTGTTCACCCAGCAGTAGCGTGTACAATTGCGAAGCTGACCAACGAAAGGGGGCACTCCTGTGTCCATCACCCTCAACAGCTATCAAGGATGGTCGGTCGGTTGTTGGTTTGGGATGACACGCACCACCGATAAAAGGCAACTACAGTTACGACTGTGGATGTACCAGCTTTTATAAGTGAAATACATCCTAAAAAAAAAGATGATAAGGCAACTGTCAGAAGTTTACTAATGGTTTTGTTACGGATGCAATGGTAAGAGGTAGCAAAGATTGCACTATGTGGGTCAAAAGTACAAAGCATGAGCGAAGGTGCGTGCGAAGAGCGAATACTTATCTGCGAAAACGTGCAACGGTTACGCGGTGCGTGCGAGCTTGCTAGTGCTAGGCTGACATCGAGGTTCGGGCTAGCCCCGAAGCGTAAGCTGACTCGGCCAGGCCAGCGGTGCATGGTTTGGTGAAACAGTGTGCGCGAAGTTGGCGAAGCCCCGTTAGCAGTAACGGGCGAACAACGGCTGCTGCTGTACGCGATGTTGCTGGTCGCGGTAAGGAATGTCGAGAAAATTCCTTACAGGTTTCAAGAACAGTTGTACTATCAGAAACACGCATATTCAAATATAGTAAATATGTACAAACCACACTTTGATTCACACACAAACACACAGTGAAAACACACAGTACAACAATATAAACTGCTGGCTCAGTGAACTGATCAGTTTACCTCTTCCCTTGATCCTCTCCTCCGCTCCCCTCCCTAGTTCCATCCCCTCCCCGCCCCGCCCCCCCCTTCACCCCACCCCCTTCCCACCGGTCCACCTTGCTTCTCTCCTCCGCAACCCCCTTTCTCCCGTCCCACCCCTTCTCCCACCCCCACCTCCCCTCCCCTCTCTCCTCTTTGTGCCTTGGTTCGTTTTATCTACATACCTGTATGTGCTAGTCCATTTGACCTGTGCTTTTTTCACACGCACACGATCCAACCTACAATCATTTCGCCTCAACAGCTGCAACCACCTGCTGCCCGCGGTGCTGATGCCACCATGCTGCCCACACCTTCACCGCCGCCACCAGCAGCAGCACTGTCACTGCCGGAAGGTTCCACAGCAGCCTGCTCTGACCCACCCCACTGCTGCCGCCCGGCACGCGTCCCACCAGACCTGCAAGAGAGGCTAGGAACTGAACCAGGCCTGCCAGCACGACACCCGTGATGGCGGTGACAGCAATAGAGGCAGCTGGGGAGGGAGGAGCGCAGTGGGCTGGCAAGGCTGTTGCTGCAGACACTGGTACGGGTGGTGGAGGTGTGGGCTGGCCACCTTGGAATGGTGCCGTTGGGGCCACCACAGGAGGTGCAGTGGAAGGCGAGGAAGAGGGGGCGGAAGGCAGGAGAGGCTTGCCCAGGCCAAGCACGTGCGGCAGGGAGGGCAGCGAGCCTTGGTGGAGGGCGGAGGCTGGCAGGTCGATGACGTGGTTGATTGCTGCGACAGTGTGGTGCGCTGAGATGGCCACCCACTTTGCCACGTGGTCCACTCTGATTGGAAGATGGAGAAACAGGGGAGAGAGGGAAATATTAGTTGCGAGACAACCTGGGCATGAGTGTGAAGAAATGGTTTGGGGTATGGAAGAAACACTTCAGGAGATTTAACTGAGCACGCGTGGTGTGGCATTAACGGGGCAGAGGGGTGGACGGTGGTGGGGGCAGGGGGCAGTGGGGGGGGGCAGTCAGGTATGTGGCTGGTGGAGCGATGCACAGCCCCATGCGCCAGCTGTCACGGGTGGGGCGGAGGGGCAGCACTCACGGGGTGAGGCGGAGAGGCAGTCCCACGATCTCCTCTATGAGCGCGTCGGGCACCTCGCGGCTGAACTCGCTCGTGCACGCCGTCACGAACGCCACCACCCCCGCGTCCGCCCGCACCTCCGCCGCGCCTCCCCGTGGCGGCACCTCCCCGCCCTCCCTGGGCGCCCCGCTGCTGTTCTGCTCAGCGTGTGCTGATGCGGCGGCAGGGCTGAGGGCGTGCGCGGTGGGCGCGAGGGGGTCGGGCAGGGGGGCGAAGCGCAGGATGACGCTGCCATCGCGCTGCTCTGGTGGGAGAAAGAGGGGGGCGAGGAGTGCGCATGGCGCGGGGAAGGGGAGAGAGGGGAGGTTTGGGTAGAGAAGTGGGGGGCCACGAGGCAGAGAGGGGCATACGGTTGCGGCACGGAGGGCACAAAGCATAGAAGACAGTGATGGGCATCCCTTGTCTTACTGACAGGGGCCATGCCGCAAGAAACTACACGCAGTGCCCGCCATTGGTGCAATTACGCTCTCGAGTCTCTTTTCCCCATCCTCCTCCCCCCACTCCCCCCACCTCCCACCACCCTGTACCCGCGCCTCTCACCCCATCCCCGCGCCTCTCGCCCCCATACCCGCAGGTCTCACCCCATACCCGCGGCTCTCACCCCATCTTCGCGCTCCTCACCCCCGCCCTCGCGGCGCTCACCGTCAGCAGCATGAAGAACGACGGCCCCCGTTGTCCTCTTCCTCCGCATCGTCGACACCATCGCCGTCGCCGTCGCAGTCGCCGTCGCCGTCGTCGCCGTGCGACCAGCGCCCTCCGCGCGCTCCCCAGTCACTGACGCAACCACCTCCTGCGACGCAGCTTTGCCCTCCCCTCTCGCTGCACTCTCCGCGAGACCCGCTGCACTCTTCCCCGAACCGCCCGCCAACATGTCGTTAATTATCGCTGAATTGCCCTCTCCTTTGTCTTGCTCGATGCCACGTGGCAGAATTGTGGGAATTGCAACGGTCGGCAGATTTGCGCTGGTCGCAGATTGGGCCTCCACGGTCGCAGTGGCACCTGCAGCAATGGCGGCGTGAGCGCGGCCCGCGGAAGCGGAAGGACTAGAGGGAGGCGGAGAAGCAGAACGAATGGCGGCTCGCGCGATGACTGCTTTACGTGTGCGCGCTGCAAGCAATCGAGCGTGCCGCCTAGCTCGGCAGTTGAGCTGCTGGTGGCACCCGCACCGCGAAGAGCTGCTCACGCCGCGCTCGCCAACTCCGACCCCAAAGCCGTGCGGAAAAAGCGCCGCGCTGTTTGGATATAGATTGAGGGCTGCAGCCGCGGCAAGTGCGTCGTGAATCTGCATCATTGCGGTGAGGTCGGCGAGAACAGAGGGCGCGCGGGACGCGAGTAGACGCGATGCGGGCATGGCGGCGACGAGGAAGTAAAACGAAAAAAGAAAGAACTCCGAAAACGACTCGTGCGCTAACGCAAGTAGATATAGTAACTACCTGGAGTTCCAGAATCTACAGCTGCGCTAATGCAGTGGAACAAGCATTTACGGCTGGATAGGAAAAGCGAGGAAAAGAACCTCAATGGCAGAGAGAACCACCACCAGACGACTGGTGTGGACTAGATAAATGAATGTAGAATGTTCGCGGCAGGAACGGTGGAGTCAGATTCAAAGTGATATAGAAAGACGCCGCGCGGCGTGGTGGGGTTTGGACTGGTGAGAAAAAGAGGCGCAGGATGTTTAGCGTTGCGGGCGAATGAACGTGGGCTGTTTCGTTCCCCACCGACGGCTGGCCCGTGATTGGTTCAGGTTGGATTGGATGTCGTCGCGCTGTTGGGGCTGGTACGCGTCGCTGAATTGCCCTCGCTGTTAGGCCCGCACGTGCGAGTTGTGACTGGGATTCGACACGAGATCCAGGGATGCAATATGTGAGGGCCCATATTTCGTTGGGTGAGTGGTGATAACGATTTCGGGCAAAGCAACGCGTTACACAAGGGCAATCCACAAATAGTTTAAAATGAGATGAAATGAAGCACTGACCACACAAGCAACAATGCAAGCAAACCAGGATACACAAAGCTCTTCTTCTTGTACCAAACGAACAAATCCCAAGGGCTCTTACTGCAACAGCATGCGGAGTGAATGATTGGGTGTGAGGTATTTATGTGGCAATGGTTCATGAGTGGATGGTGATGTGTCATGCGTTTTGAGCCATTCCTCTATGCTTCTGCGCTCGTAGGTGAAGCCATCTGCTGCCACTACTGGGTCAGTCATTCTCATCTGGAGAGGGGGGGGGGAGTTAACAGGGGGGAAGGAAACAGGGGCGAGGGAGAATGTGTGTGAGGGATCTTGGAAAAACGGGAGTGGGGCCAGAGGAGGCAAAGTGAAAGAGAACGGGGTAAGAGGAGAAGAGAGAAGGGCAAAGCAGGGACATGAGCACAGGTGGCACAGGTTCACAGCAGCACATACATGTGAGAGCGGGCACACAAACTGGTCCTCAATGCTCTGCTGCCGCTGCCTCTCCCCCGCCTCCATCTCCTCCACCAGCCCATGCAAGGCTGGCTGCAGCTCGCCCGCCAGATCCGGGCGGCATGCTCGCTGCCGGGCGGCACACCGCAGGCCCCACTCTGCCAGCTGGCAAGCAACGGACAGCGGCCACTCGCCGCCCGAGACGTCCAGGTGCTCTGATACCAGCGCTGCCACGGCCTGCACCATGGGGCTGCCGCTGCTGCCGACAGCGCCTCCCCGTTCCCAGTAGCGGTCGAGGGCGTCCTGGAAGGGCTTGATGCGCCGGTGCAGGCTCTTGATGCCCGCCTCGCCCGTGAGCAGCTGCAGCATGATGAGCCCCAGCGCGTACACGTCGGACAGCACGCTGATCTCAAAGGTGAGCACCTCCTCGGGGTCGATGTACCCCACGGTGCCGCGCACGCGCGTGGTGGTGGCGTCATCCTCCGCGATCAGCCGCGCCAGGCCCACATCCGCCAGCTTGCACCCGCGGTTGGCGTCCAGCAGCACGTTGTCGGGCTTTAAGTCGCGGTGGGCGATGGGCGGGTCGTGGTGGTGCAAGAACAGCAGCGCCGACGCCACCTCCGACGCCACCCGCACCCGCTCCACCACAGACAAAGGCCGCCGCCCGGCAGTGGGCTTGAGGTGGTCCTGCAGGGAGCCACCTGGCAGGTACTCATAGACGAGGCACATGGCGTCGGGGCAGTGGCCCATGAGCAGCACGATGTGGGGGTGGCGCATGCGGCTCAGCACCTCCACCTCCGTCATGTACTCGTCGGGGCCCTGCCAGCTGCTGCCCTCCAGCCGCTTCACCGCCACCTCACACCCCATCACTCGGCCCCGGTACACCTGGCAGGGGGGAGAGAGGGCCAAAACGCAGGGAAGGCACAAGCCATGTTACTAACAAAAAAACCCTTAAAAAAAAAGGAAAAATATCCCCTTCTCCTCCCTCTCCTCCTGCTCCTCGCTCCCTACGAGCTTACCCTGCCGAAGGCGCCCTTCCCGAGTTGATTCGCCGGGCTCCAGTTGTCCGTCGCCCTTGCCAGTTGCTCTTGCGTAAAAAGACGACAATCGCCGCCTGCTCCCGCCCCGTTTGCGCCCATGACACTACCTGCATCACTCTCTGCCACCACGGATCCCCCCCACACCCCACTGCTGCCAGGAGGAAAGCCCGATGTTGGGTGGTGAGAGCGGAATGGGAGGGAGAGAGAGGTGGAGGAGTAGATGGAGAAGTCGGCACTTAGATAAGCACCGGAATCTGCAGTGACGTTGGCGGAGTGTTTAGGGTGGTAATTGAACTGGTTGCTCTGCGGGTATTCGCATGACGGGTTGAATGGTAGGTTCTGAAAGTGGTTGCATATATGGGAGAAAAGGGGGGGGAGAGAGAGAGGGTGGGTGCAGGGGGGGGGGGGAAGTGGGAGGGGAAAAGGATAAGACCAATCAGGCCATGCGGCACTCAAATGGGGCGTACTGTGCAACGTACTGGAGTGTTGGGGTAGTGGGGCGCCGTTGGTGCAATGAGCTAATTTCGCAGTTCAATTCTTCTTGGTGAAATATGCCACTGTAATTTCAGTAGCGTTATTCAAATCCTATAATGTGCGGTACCCTAAAGCAATAGAGTGTAGTTCGTTCCTGTACTGCAGCACATATCCTCGAGAGGTGTAGCGATGCGCGACACCATCGGAGTCGCTACATCTCCTGTAGAACACCTCATCATCCGTTTGCCCGAATTCCCCCAATCCATACCGCCTCAAAGGTTTATACACGCTGAAACAGTAAAAACACGGGCGAATGCGCGATCTCTTTCGCCCGCTCGCCGAAGCGGACCGCGGGTAAAAACAAACAAAAACCCAATCGGAACCATTCAGGAGGCATCGAGGGGTTGATGCCTCCCGAACGGCATGCAGTCCGATAGGGTTTTTTTTTTTGCCCCGGGCAGCTCGCTTCCGCCAGCTCGCGCATCTGGTGGATTCGAACCCACGAGGGCTCGGATGGACTCACATACCCGCTTCCCCATCCAACCCCTCCCCCCCCCCCTTCGTTTCCAACCCCCACCTCCGGCCACCCCTCTCACACGCGTACCCAGCTTTCGTCGGAGTTGGGTTGCTGGGAGCTCCGCAGAGGCGCTTCGTCGTGCGCGCCATCGCTGCCCCCGTCGAGCGCCGCGAGCTCCTCCTTCAGCGACAGCGCGCTCTGATGGCTCCCGCCGCCGCTCCGCCCTTCCGCCTCCCGCTCGCCCGGGTAGTACTCGCCCCCGCTCCGCCAGCTACCCTCGCTACCTATGCCATCCGCGCACACTGCTCCGCGCATTGCACCGGGCCTCTCGCCATACATTTCGCGGTTCCTCTGCTCGTCATACGACCGCGACGTGAACACGCCTTGCCCTGGCCGCATGCCGCCTACGCCCGCCATTTCGCGGAGCTCGCCGGCCGCGTTCGCGTCCCTCGCGCCCATCGCCCCCATGCCCATGCGCGCAGTACCCCCGTCCAAGCTCCGCCTTCCCCTGCCCGGGTCGCTGCCGAACTGATGGCCCGGCCATTCCGCCCTGCTGCCCCCTCCGCCCGCTGCATACATATGCGGGGACCCGCCCATGCGGCCTGCGCCCACGCCTCCGTATTGCGGAGGGGAAGCGCGACCCGCGCCGTCGAAGCGCTGCGGGCTGGAATTATAAGCCCCGAAGTCGCCGCGGGCGCCGTAGCCGTCGAAAGACGGCGCGGCTGCGGATGTCGGGGCATACTCGGCGGCGGGGAACGCGGGGTCAAGGCGGCGGAGATGCGGAGGTGCCTGCGGAAAAGGGCGACGAGGGGAAAGGAAGGGGGGGAGGGAAGCGGAAGTTGTGGAGGGAGAAGACGAGGTCTGGACGGAGCGATGGTGGGAAGGAAGAGCGACGTGCGGGCGAGGAGAAGGCAAGGCGGGCAGAGCTCACTCACCTGCGGGACGCTGCCGCGGAAGCTGCTGGCCGAAAGCGGAAATGCCTGCGACGCGTCGAAGTCGTGGTCGTTGCCCTTCCTTATCGTCACGCCCTCCGCCAGGTGCAGCGATGGGGCGGGCGGAGCTTGCGAGTCGCATGGACGGGGCGGATGGGGCGGCGGGCGGTAGGCAATGGGGACGTGGCGCGACTGGTCGTCGTCGTCGCCGCTGCGGATAACCACCGCCCCTCTCGCCGACCCCCACCCGCCAATAGGAGGCGCCATTGTGTCCGCGCTGAAAGAAGGACCAGGAAATCCCTGCTCGGGTGAGAATCTTTCTCCAAAAACGGACGGCGGTGGCCGCATGTGTGGTGGCGGCGCCATGTCTTGTGCGCCATTGAATGCGCCTCGGCTTCCTGGCATCATCGGTTGATGCTCGTTAGCGTGAGAGCGGTGAAATTCGGTGAAGGAGTTTGGCGGGCGGCAGCGGTACGCGGAGTCGTAGGGGTCGGAGAAGCCGTCGACAGGCAGGGAGGAGTTGCCGACGCTGAGACTCATGACTCAACCGCAACTTCAGGCGCGCGTGCATGCGGAGACTGCCGCAAGAACTGCAAGTCAGCGCACCCGTGTGCGTCAGCTGCGCGATGTGCGCTTAGGACCTAAATGGCTGTCACTTGTGCATTACTGTGAAGCAAACCGAGGTTGGACATGCAGTTGAAGAAACTAAGGGTATGGAAAAAGAGTCGGGGCGGGGAACCAGGAGGAGTGGTTGGTCCAGAGAAGGTTGGGTTGGGAGGGGGGTTGTGGTGCGCGTGGTGGGCGGGAGGCATGGAAAGGCCCAGCTGGAAAGGCAGAAGGGGGCTGGTGGGTGGAAAGCAAGGCTGTCGATTGGTTTTAGGCCAACACTTGAGTGGCTGAGGTCCCCTATTTCCAGCCCTGAAAATTCCGGGAAGCGGCTTTTTCCAACCCTTAAGCGTCCGGGAAAGGCCCCAACTTAACACTTGAAATCAGCGCAACACTCTAGCGTTCAGGGCAGGAATTACCTAGATATTCACAAATGTACACTGCTCTAACACAGGAAGCCGTAACTGTCTCGAATTGCCTAACTACTTTCCATAAAAGATGAAGTGGTAAGCTTGCGGCTCTAACAAGGGGTGTGGAACAGGGGAGTGTTAAGAGGAGGGGAGGTTCAGAGTGTGGAGGCTCCGGAAAAATCCCCAAACTTGTACGGCGAATCAGGGCAAGCCCCCAAATGCGCCCTGCAAGAACCAGGGGAAGGCCCTGACGACGCCTTTTAGAATTTAGGGCTGTACCCAAAAGTAAAACTTAAATTCGGAACCTGGAGCGATGTCAACCCTTAATGTTGAAGGCATTAAGGAAAAATGCCCTTGAATTGTCAGCCCTGGTGGAAAGGGGGCGCTTTGGATCTTCGGGGGAACTGGGACGTGTTGTGGCATTCGATGCACTTTTTGCCACGTCGCGTCCACATTCTAATGAAGCTCGCACCGCGGGCATGAGGCACGAGGAAGGGTGTGGAGGATAGTCAGAGCGCGTAGCAATTGGCTGAGACGAGATGGGGCAGTTTACTGTTACAGAACTCGCGAATCCTAAACGCTAACGAACGCCTTCCGCGAGCTGCAATGGGTGCAGTTTGCAGGTGGAATTGGATGCGACGAGCACAGCGCAGCAAACAACGGCCCGACAGTGGGGACAGCGGTGATTCGTAACGAATCACCATCGAGAAAATGGGACAGCTCACGGGCGACGCGACTTCGTGTTCTGCTCAGTGCACGGGAAAAGGTGTAGGTACACGGATTCCATTAAAAACAATTACAAAGTGGAAGACTTTTTTACCGCAGAATAAATGGAACCGCAAGCATCCATCTTCGTACTGAAGCATCAGGTTTCGAGTACAGACACCAACCTCAATACCATCCCCTTTTCCCCATTCCGCTTGAATGCAGCCCTCGCAAACACTCACGAATGTGCCCCCACCATCGCGGCGCGCCGGCCAGCGCGAAGCCCGCCGTGTATGAAATTCGCTCCGCTTCGTACGCTGCTAACGCGACGCTCGCCTGCCGCGTTCCTCGTCGCCCCCACGCCATGGGCGCTCCTCTTCTCCACTGCGCCGCCGCCGCTTTCATTGCCGCTTGCTGCTGCCTCTGCTTTCCTCCCGCTGCTGCGCAAGCAGGCGCCTCTAGCGGCGGTGAATCCGGAGGGCTGGCGTGGCACGAGGTAGGGCTGCAGTGAAGCGCGGCTTTGATTCGCGCTGGTATTTTCAGTCGCACTTGATTGGATAAGCGTGGCTTTGAACCAATCGTCCAGCAGCATCGCCGCCATCTCTTCACTCGTTCGTGTCGAGCCGCCCAGGCTCATTGCGAGCTCGCTGCAATCGCTCTCGACTTCGCGCATCCCGCTCGCCCTTCACGCGCCCCAGCCCATTCCGTTGCGTCTCCGCCATCTCCTGCTCTCCTCTCCTCTGCTCTCCTCTCCTCTGCTCTCCTCTCCTCTGCTCTCCTCTCCTCTGCTCTCCTCTCCTCTGCTCTCCTCTCCTCTGCTCTCCTCTCCTCTGCTCTCCTCTCCTCTGCTCTCCTCTCCTCTGTTCTCCTCTCCTCTGCTCTCCTCTCCTCTGCTCTCCTCTCCTCTCCTCTCCTCTCCTCTGCTCTCCTCTCCTCTGTTCTCCTCTCCTCTGCTCTCCTCTCCTCTGCTCTCCTCTCCTCTGCTCTCCTCTCCTCTGCTCTCCTCTCCTCTGCTCTCCTCTCCTCTGCTCTCCTCTCCTCTGCTCTCCTCTCCTCTGCTCTCCTCTGCTCTCCTCTCCTCTGCTCTCCTCTTCCCTGCTCTCCTTCGCCCCTGCCTATGCCACTCCCCTCCCCATTTTCTTCCTCCACTGCCCTTTTCCTCCGACCTTCCCTCTTTTTTCCCCACCCCGTCCCCACCTGTCCCCTCCACGCCATTCCCCCTTTACCCGCGCGTGCAGGCCTGGCAGGCGGCGTACGAGTTGACGCCGGGCTCCTTCCTGCCGCCCCTCTCCGTCGCCCTGCCGCCCGGCGTGCCGCCCGCGCCGCACCTGGAGGACTGCACGGCGCACACGGCAGCCAGGGCGCGCGCGGAGGCGCGGGGGGAGGGGGGGGAGGCGCCCCCCTGGACGGCGCCCTCTCAGTGCTGCGGATGCTCCCCCCAGCCGCCCTGGGTAAGTGCTAGTACAGAGCGGAGCGGTGCAATGTGGTGGAGTGGGGTGTGATATGTGAAGGCATGGTATCAGATATACCCCAGGCACTCGTCCGCCTCTCCACCTCGCGCCAGTGCATCCTTGAACTCGCCACGCAGCATGTCTCGTGTCGCTTCTCATTTTCAATCTCCAAGTGACGTGTGCTGTGTGCTGCTCCACTCTCTGTTCACCAGGTACGGGGTGACGACGCATCCAATCTCCCACTGACACGTGTTGCCCAAACACACATCTGGCAACACCAATTCCCCCCGTCATGCGACCACCGCCGCCTGCTGCTTGCTGATTGGCCACAGCTGAATGCTGACATGGCAGCAATGGGGGCAGGGGAGGCGGAAGGGGCAGGCGGCATGGGGGGCATGGAGGGATTGGCGGGGGAGGTGCATGTGGTGGGGGGCCTGCTGGGGCTGGCGCTGCTGTTGAACCGCACACTCGCTGTCACGCCGGGCTCCTTCCCCCATGCCAACCACTCCGCTTGTTCTGGTGCGTCACACCACTGCCATGCCATGCCGTGATGCCATGCCATGCCACGCCATGCCATGCCATGCCATGCCATGCCATGCCATGCCACGCCATGCCATAAGATGCCATCCCATGGCGTGAAGCTTGCACTCGTGATTCATGCATTCATCCCATCCACCCATCCTCTCTGCACCCGTCCCCTTAACTCCCCCCCCACCCACCTCCCTCGTGTCTCCCTTCCGCCGTCCCCAGCCACACCAGAGTCGCTGGCCTGTTTCTTCACCCCCCTCACGGGGCACCTCTGCCAGCAGGCAGCAGCAGCCGCCATGGCAGCCCACCTGCCCGTGCCCGCCGTCGCATGCGCCGCCGCCCAAGAGGCCACTCAGGCCGCCTCTCAGGGCTTGGATGAGCTGGACACATTGCTGACGTCCGCAGATCCGGTGGTGCGCGTCTGCACTGGGGCGTTGAGCCGACACCAACTGCTGCTGCTGACCAACGAATCACGCGTCGCCACGTAAGCATGTGCTGGTCCCAAATGGTACCACTCGCTTGCAGTGTTGACTTGTTGCACCCAGCCATGGTTGGTTGTGTTCTCTTAAGCGCATCGCTGTGCTGCACTTGCCCACCCCGCTTCTCTCCCATCCCTGAGAACCCATTCCTCTCACCCCTCCTCTGCCCCCGCCCTGTGTGTGCTGCCGGGGTGCCAGGCAGTGGGGTGCAGCTGTGAGTGCGGCATCCCAGTCGGTGGAGGTAGCAGGGGTGGTGCCGCCACACAACGCACACAGGGAGCAGGTAGGCCATGGCCGTGCATGCCATCATCGGCTTACATGCTTTCAGCTCGCCTCTCATTGCTCCTCAATCAATGTTCGGGTCCACCCCCTCATTCCCACATGACTGTACCCACCCATTCCGTTCGCCTCCCTTCAGTTGCACTGGTGGCGATCCCAGGCCGTTCGATTCCTCTTCCGCTGGCCATCTGCCCACCTCTGCCACGTCACCAACCTTATCCGCCATGTCAGCTACGGCCGTTACATCGCTGCTCAGATGCACTCCGCTGCCCAGCAGCAGGCTGCCATCATCCGCTCTCTCTCCGCTGGCCCGTCCGAGGCCGACAAGAGCATCGGAATTGATACAGCTGCCGAAGCCAAGTTCCTAGCCTCGGTAGACATCAGGTCAGGGCCAAGCCTGGAGGGCCGGGTGTGGCCAGCGTTAGGGTTTGAAGGATGTGTGAAGACAAAGGAGGGGGCGTGGGGAGGAAGTGTGATTATAGACGAGGTGTATGAGGGAGTGGGGAGGGAGGCATACATCATGCGGCCCGTAGTGAGTGTGCACGTGAGTATGGGCGGCAGTGGGGAAGCTACAGGCAATAGTGGTGGAGCAGATCCCAACACAACGCTGCCAGCAACATCACGCCTGCAGCCAGCCGTTCAAACGCTCATGTTCTTGGCCCATCGCCTGAGGCGCCATGTGCCACACTTGCGCCACGTGTGGTTGACAGCCACTGTGCCGGTACGTGCCCACTCTCCTCCCTGCCGCCCTGCCACTGGCAGCATGTCGTGTCGGGTGACCCTCACTCCACTCATTGTCCACTGTTCATGCTTCCTGACAAGGTTCACTAATATATGCTTCCGTGAGCAGGATGTGAGCAATGAGCTGTTGGAGCACCATGACTGGACGTTTCACAGCGTCCTCAGGAGCATGGGTGCCCACGTTGAGCAATCACCGCCTTCTGGCTTGGAAGACAGCCTGGGTAGCGCAGTGGGTGCCACGGCAAACATGCTCTCTCAGCTCCTCATTGCCTCTGAATGTGATTATTTTGTGGGCGCACTCAGCTCCTCCAGTGCACAGCTGTTAAACGAGCTCAGAAGCACAAATGGGAGGATGCTGTCTGGGTTTATTTCCTTGGATCAATGAAGTGCCTTGCATCAAAATGTGTTGGAAAGAATTCTGAATACCATTACTCAAATCTGGCTTAGCAGCTAGATACGCTCATGCCAGAAGTGAAGGTCACGTGCTCCAGTACTCCCATAGTATTCATAAGGTCACCTAGTAGTGGGTAATTGACCACAAGTAAAGCAGTAAAATCTTCTATTTGAGCCCTGCTGTTTCAGAACACTTGAATGTCGCGGAGAGGATGTTGAGCATCCAAAAACTTGAAAGGCAAAGCAGGAGGACGCACCCAAGAATACTCTGCGGATGTTGCTGAGCAGCTCAAGTTACTCGACAGGAGCAGAGACACCTGGAAGCAGAAATCGAAAGGGAGCACAAGAAAGAAACGAAAGAGTCAGTGGTTTTGGAGGTCAACAACAGAAGCATGACAACATGATGGACTGAGAAAAAGTCAGGGCAGCACATACCGAACACATCATGAGCCACTGGGTGGACGGTAGCCTCATCTGCTTGAGGCGTCACACCTGGAGGAGCCTCATCCTCCTCCATGGGGTACTCTGCAGGGGGCATCTGGTAATGCTCTGGAGCTGCATACCCCTCTGCATGCATGAGGTACGGGTCTGGCTGCTGCTGGTAGTATTGCTGCTCAAGCTGCTGCTGCTGCTGGTAATGGGCTGCATACATAGCCCTTCTCTCTGCCTCCTCTGCTGCCATCTGCTGTTGGAACAACTGGTGCTGCAGCTGCTCCTCCTGCTGACGCTGATGAATCTGCTTCTGAATGTGCTCCATCAGCTCCTGCTGACGTTGCTGTATCTGTTCCTGCTTTGCCTTGTCAGTTTCCTGCTTTGCAGCACCCAGTGCTGCAACAGGGTCCTTCTTTGAAGCTAGAGATGCATCTTCCTCCTCTGACTGCTCAATCTGCAATTGCTGATCCTGCTGTTCCACTTTCTCCTCCGCCTTGACCTTCCCCTGCTTCGCCTTCTCAAGTATTGGTATCTTGACAATGCTTGACTGAGCAGGAACCTGCACCTCCCCCCCCCAAAAAAACAAAAAGGTTGAGATTACAAAAAAGGGTCACCACAACCAGCATAAAGATAGACAGACACTTACAGTGAGCTCTGGTTTTCGTGCAAGCGACTCCTTTTCCTCCCTAAGCCACTTCAGCTGGGAGGGAGCATCCTGGACCTTCTGGCGTTCAGACGTCTTCAGAAGCTTGTCGCTATCAGCATTCCTGCTCTGCTTGCTCTTTCCAGAGTCCTCAGCCAGCTTCGCCTGTCTCTCTCCATCCTTCTCCTGCCCGGTTTGACGTTTCCCCCGCTTGTCATTTTCACGAAACTTCATGACAATACCCTTGCCAGATGCTTTAGCCTCTGTTGCATCAGCAACAGGCTGCTCGCCCGCCTCATCATCATCAGGAGCAGCCCTAAGTCTGGATGGCTTGAAATCTTCATTCTCCTGATAAACACCTCGATCAGCTGGACCATTCATCTCCTCATCCTTGTAGTCTCTGTCTCTCATCCCTGATGCTCTGCCGCGCCCACTTCTCTGTTCTGAACCACGAAAGTCAGACCTGTTTTCAGAATGTCGACTGTCACGAGACTGTCTTCTCCTCATTGGCGGCTGGGACTCATGAATGGAGTCCTCAGGACGCGACCTTGCGTAATCATCTGTCCAGTACAAACACAAACATTAGTACATGTATGCAATGCTTGAACAAGCAAGATGCTTCTGCCAACTGTACCTTGAGAAAACCGCCTTGATGAGATTGCTTTGCCAGAGGATTGATTTTCAGCAGCAGAAGGTCTTGTGTAATGGTTACCAGCCACCTCCGTAACTGGACCAGGCAATCCTTCCTGATCAGGATTCCCAACATGTGGAGTTGGCACAAAACTCATTTCCCCAGATGCGTCATGATTAGAAGGAGGAAAAGCAGGGCCAGCTGCGAGTGCAACAGGTGCAGCATCCAGAGCCAACGGAAGCTCCGAGAGATTCGCTAAAGCGGAAACCGCAGGTGGCAAGTCATCTGGAGACAACTCTTCCAAAAACATGTTGAGTTGAATCTTGGATCTGCAAAGGAACAGTATCAACAATGCTCAGAAATCATGTGGAGGAAAGCATCTTTGGGCAAGATTGTCAGTGTTCTACCTTTTCACATCATCCTCTGCTGCCATGACACACTGCTGAGCTTCAACAAGCGTCTTCAAGTTGACAGATATCCTGCAACAATCCAACAAGTGAAAGTGAACAAACGATGCCTACATCAGGCCACTACTGGTTGGCGTTAATTTTGTTGTACTAAACTATATTCACTGCAATTACTTGGCAATAAGGCCTTCCTTCTCTTGAACATCCCTCTCCAGCAGCTTCGCATGCTCCAACAGATCCTTTGCCAGTTCTGTCTTGCGCCCAAGGAGGGTCTGCGCCATAAACAAGAAACGGAGTGAATTAACATGCGATCACTATGAAAAGGATCACTATGAGAAGAATAAAAAACATCAAATGTCGAATCCAAACCTGGAGAGTGTCGCAGTGCTCTCTCTGTATGGTCACGTCCTTGAGAAGCATCTTTCTCTGCAAGTTGTAAAGTGGAACCATTTAGTAAAGCAAAGTGCACCACGAGGTAAAACTTTTAAAGGAGAACGCTTTTCCCATATACCTCACGCTCAAGTTCCATCCTTTCAGCAGACACAACCCTGCTTCCGGAACTAGGTCCAGCAGCTCGATAGTCCACCCCACGTTCTCGTTTCCTCTCACCATGATGCCTTTCACTGAGTTGGACAGTGTCAACAGGGGAATAAAAACGTCTTAGTGAAAAGGAGTCACAGATGCTAGAAAACAGTATGTGCATGATGAAGACCTGACATGTCCACGCAATCAGCAGCACCTGGTCTCAGAAGGCGACCTTGAGCGTGAGTCATATGAACGATCGGAATAGTCGTCTCTTGAAGGTGATGGTGAAATGCTGCGGCCTGGACACACAGGAAGTCAAGGAGATTAGCACCACAAGAGAGACGGAGACACCCAGCACTACGACCTACCCATCAAGAACACAAAGGGCACTCACCCCGCTTCCTAGGAGGAGAGGGCCTCCGTCCGCGGCGTCTGCCATCTTCAGGCGGAGAACGGTAACGCATGCGATCGCGAAGATCCCCTCCTCTGTACCCCGAGTACTTCCCTGAAACACCTTATGAAGGTAACAGAAGAAGGAATGCCGAATAAAACCACATGATGATGAACTCGCCTGTTCTTCGTGAACAACTGACAGAAACGCAGGGCAACTCACTTTAGCACCGGCGTCAGGACGGTTTTGGCTGAAAATGGATGGAGGTGAAAAGGTAATCAAAAGACCTTGTTCAAAACTTCACAAGACATGCATCTTCGTCAACTAGGGTTTGAGATGACAGAATCCTCCGGTGCCGTTTACATGGTGTCACGTAAGTTGCCAATAACTGAACTTCGGATGAAGCCAATATTAAGTGAAGCGTGGAAGATCGCTTACACAAGAACAAACAGAGACAGCACTCAGGCCCGATGAACTGGCTTCGAGGAAAACAAAATTAACAGATGTCTCGCACGGATGAACGGCACCAGAAGACACTCACCAGTTGCTCCAGGGGGAGCTTTACGTAGTTCCTCTTCTCCATGCGCGAACGTGCAGTTAGGTCTGTCGCACTTTCCCCTTTCATGGAGCACGCAGAGTTTAGTCTTGTATAAATCGCGGGACGCCATGAATGAATCGGGACAGCATGAATGATAAAGGCTCGTCCTGTGATAAGTCTGCAAGAAAATGGAGAACTTGGGCAGTTAGTCGTAACAAAGGCGACGAGCGCTGCGATGGAGAAGGAATCTCGAGGGGCCAAGTGAATCTCGAGAGACAGCAACTAAGATTGCTGGTTGTGCGAAACCCCGCTTCCGTATTGTAGTCGTTTCACTTGAACCTTCTAGGGAACGTCGTTGGCAATGTACACCACAAATTGGTTGCTATCAACTACGGTAGGTACGCAAAAATTGTCTGATGCTAGAAATATTGACTTGCTCAGGTATGTTCTTCTCCAGTCAGATGGTTCACCATGAAAACATATATAATTTCTTCTGGTTGCAACAAAAAAATAGACCGGCAAATGGTTGAACAAATTCTACCTCTGCGCACGCATCCTAACGGGTGGATTGTGTGTCGATGATGCACCCCAATGCACAGAACCCGCAAACATTGCACACAAGCAGCATGCAAGGATGGATGAGATGCACTTAAGGTGTGTTGACATAAAAGGCAGGTGCAGATCAGAGATGCGTTGTGAGGGAGAACAGTGGTGCAGGGTGCAGCACAGCAAGGCCGGGACCTCGGAAAAGGCATCTCCCACTAGCTGCAATGATGGAGAGGGCATTGCAGCTGGGAAAAGGCTGGGCACTGGGGCAGGCTGTGCATGGGATGGGAGTGTGTGCGTCGTGCAGCGGAGGGGGATATTCTGTAGAAGCAGAAGTAAGAGGGTGGGGGCAGTGGTGGAACAAGATGGTGTGGAGAGATGCTGGGTCGGACAGGAGCGGGATGAGCTGAGGAAAGCACAGAGGGCAGCGGAGTAGAGAAGGGAATGGAAATGAGCAGCAGTACAGTGGGTTGACAGGCGGCGGTGGGCGGGTGGGCAAAAAGAAGGGGGGCTTCACTGTATGTAGAGGGAGTGAGAGGCGAGGGTGCAGCGGAGAGGGGATGAGATCAGCGCATGTTGTGGGAGGAGATGAGCGTTTTGAGGACGTTGTTGGGGGTGAGGCACGTGTGCGGCAGGGGCTGCCCCGTGGAGGGGGAGAGAGTGCAGGACGCCATCCAGCGAGTGATGTGCTCGCGCTCGTATGTGAACCCGTCCCCCGCCACCACCGGGTCCCTCATCACCTCCTGCCATCGTGGTCGTGGTCGTGGTCGTGGTGTGTGTAGGGCAGAGCAAGGCAGGGCGCGCACACGGGGGTGGCATTTGCATGCACAACACGCAGGAGGGAAGGGGTGATGATAGATGTCACGACAGCATGTGAGAGCGACACCAGTGCGTGTGTGAGTGTGCAACAAAGGATGGGTTTCTGAGAGCACACGAGACACGGCATACCTTGGAGAGGGGGCAGATGAACTGCGAGTCGCTGTGCTTCTTGCGTGCCTTGACCTCCTCCTCCGCCGCCGCAGCGATCCTCACCAGCGCCGGCTGCACCTCTTTCTTGAGGCTCGGCCGGTTCTCGCGCCGCCGGTCCGCACAGCGCAGCGCCAGCCCCGCGGCCTCCTCCGCCAGGTCCATGCGCCACTCGCCGCCCGTGCTCTCCAGGTACTTGCTCACCACGCCCACCGCCCCCACTGCTGCCCCCCCCGGCCCCGGCTGGCTGCCTTGGGGCGTCTTGGCGTGCTTGGCGCACTCGGCCAGCATGCGGTGCACGGCCTTGACGGCGCGCTGCCCCGTGAGCAGCTGCAGCATGATGAGCCCCAGCGCGTACACGTCGGACAGCACGCTGATCTCACACGTCTCCACCTCCTCGGGGTCGATGTACCCCAGCGTGCCGCGCACCTTCATGGTGGTGGACCCGTCCGCCTCCAGCAGCCGCGCCAGCCCCACATCGCCAATCTTGCTCGCCAGGTTGCCGTCCAGCAGGATGTTGTCGGGCTTCAAGTCACGGTGCACGATGGGCGGGTCGTTGCGGTGGAGGTACATCAGGGCAGTGGCCATCTCCCCACAAATGCGCAGCCTGTCCGACCAGCTCAGCCGCACCGCATCTGCCGTCTTGGGCGGGCCCAGCTTGTCCTGTAGCGTGCCGCCCGGGAGGAACTCGTAGACGAGAGCCATTTCCTCGGTGCAGCAGCCCATGAGCAGCACGATGTGGGGGTGGCGCATGCGGCTCAGCACCTCCACCTCCACGCGGAACTCGTCGGGCCCCTGCCACCCCTGCCCCTCCAGCCGCTTCACCGCCACCTGGCATCCCAGCATCTCCCCGCGGAACACCGCCCCGAACGACCCCTTTCCCAGAAGGTTCTCTTGGGCGTAGTTCTTGGTGGCGCGCGCGAGCTGCTGCGCCGTGAACTGGCGGCAGTCAAAGCCGTCGCCCACCGCTGAGCTGCTGCCCGGGGTGAGCTGGCCGGAGGAGAAGGCGGAGCGGCCGAAGGAGGAGGCGGCGGGCTGCGAGGCCGTGGGGCCCTGCGAGTACGCCGCCAGGGACGTGTTGGATGGCGCCGACAGGTGGTGGAAGCGCGACGCGCGTGACGACGACGACGACGACGACGTGGGCGCGGGCCGGGACAGGAGCCCCCCGGTGCCGCTGCTGTCCCCCGCTCCCACGCTGCCACCGCCACTCATCACCCCCACGCCACCTCCCGCCACGCCCTCTATGCTGCCCTGCATGCTGCCCTGCCGGCTGCCGTGCCTGCTGCCGCCCGCACTGCTACCTCCCGGGCTGAGCGCGCTGCCCCTGAAGCTGCTGCTGCCCGCCAGCGGGCTGCATGGCGCCGGCGACAGCGCTGGCCCCGGCTGGTGGAGGGCCATTGGGGTACACATGCCGCCATGCACAAGGGGGGAGGGACGGAGAGGGTGGGAGACTGGAGCAGTGAGAGAGAGAAGGGGTGTGTGTGAAGGAGAAATTAAAAGTGAAAAGGTTCAAGATGGGAAAGCGAAGGGGGATGCAAAAAAAGTGTCCCCCCCCCACCTCGCTCACACCCGCCCCTGCATGCCTGCCCGCCCATTCGCCCGCCTGCCCACGTGCTTACCCCTTTGCACGCCCCCCCACCGCACCTCTCTGCCGTCGCCCGCCCCTGCGCTGCTGTCGCCCGCGGCACTGCCGTCCACCTCGCGGTTGCTGCTCACGCCCTTGCCCACCCACGCCGCCTCCTTCCCCTCCCCCTCCCCCTCCGCTCCCCCCGCGCCCCCCTCATCCTCCGCCTCCAGCATCGCCAGCTCATCCGCCAGCAGCGACCGCCCCCCTCCCCCCACCCCTCCCCCTTCCCATTCCCCTTCCTCCTCCCCTCCCCCATCCCAATCCCCTCTCCCCACCGCCCCGCCCCCCTCGCCCTCCTCCGGAATCCCCTCTGGCAGCGCCACTCGCTCCGCACTGCGCTTCCGCACTGCATGCCCGGCCCCCCACCGCCCCTCCTCGCCCGCTCCCCCCATCGCCATCCCCCCGGGCGTGGCGGAGGGCGAGCACGACGCGCTCAGGCTCAGCCCCATGCCCGCCCCGCGCCCCGCCCCCCTCAGCGCCGCTTCCCCCCACCCCCCGTCCCTGGCCGGCATTCCGACCGCAGCAGCGCCGGGGGAACGATGGCGTGCAGCGGAGGACATGGGCTGCGCGCCGCTGGCCTGCGGGTGGGTGGGGGGGCAGAGGGGGAAGAAGCGGGGAGAGAAGGGGTGGGGAAAGAGGGGGAGGGGAGGAAAGAGGGGACAGGGAGGGAGGGCGAGAAGGGTGAGTGAACGCGGCGAAAGCGGGGTGGCGCGCGCGCAGCAAGGAACGAGAGACAACGCCCCAGCGGGCCAGCGAAGGTGCCGCTGCACTCGTAACACGCCCCCTAGCCCGGCCAAACTCGCCGCACCTCGGATTCGCGCACCGCCATCTGCTGCAGCTCCTCCAGCGTCGAAAACGACAAGCGCGATTGCTTCCCCCTTTCTCCTCCCGCCCCCGCGCGCCTCTGCTCCGCCCCTTTCCCCCGGTCCATCATTTGCCCCCATGGATCCCTCTCCGCCGCCTCTCCGCCAGCCGCTGTTGCAGGCGGGGCGGGCGCGGGCGCGGCGAGGGGGAGCGAGCGGGAGTGCGGGCCGGAGGAGGAGGAGGAGAGGGAGAACTCGGACGACGGCGCGCCGCTGCTGCCCAGGGGGGACGCGGACGCCTCCAGCGGGGGGGGATCGGAGGGGCGGCGCACGTGCAGGGGGGACGCGCACGCAGGGGGTTTAAGCGAGGAGGGCGTGGCGGGGGGGAGTGCGGGGGGCGCGAGGCGGGTGGCGAGGGCGTCGTTGGAGGAGGGCGCGGAGTGGAACTGCAGGAAGACGGAGGGCAGCGCGGAGAGGTCGGTGCGCTGCGCGCCGATGAGCTGCTGGTGCTTGTGGCCGCGGCCGCCCTGCGACACGACGAGCGTGCACGCGCGCGGCAGCGACGTCTGGCACGCCGCGACCACGCCCGACGATGACCACCCCAGCAGCTTCCTAGCGCAACGGGGAAGTAAGGGGAAGGGGAGGGAGAGGGGGAAGGGGGAGAAGGGGGAGCGGGGTCGGAGCGGAGGGTTGGAGCAGCTGGTGGTGGAGTCCGCTCCCGCGCCATAACCAACAGAATCACGACCCATCCAACCACCCGAGTCCCACTAACCCCCGCCAGCCCGCCACGCCCTCGCTGCCGCCCACGCCGCACCTCTTGACGCCTATGTAGACGCGCTCCGCGTTGGCTCGGCGCGCAGCGAGGCACAGCCCCATCTCGCGGCGGTCGTTGAGCTCCACCGCCGTGCCGCACGCCACCTGCCCCGCGGAAGAGGCAGCACCGGTCAGGAGGGGGAGGGGGGAAAGCGGGAGGAAGGCACAGTCTTAGAACGAACGGCAGAGGAGGACGACGAAGCGGAAGTTAGGGGACAGAGGGTGACTGAACATGGCGATCACAGGCGTGGTTGAGAGCGGTGGCGAGTGGCGCGATGCACGAAGCGGTCGAGTTGAGCGCGTGGGTGGGGTCTCACTCTGCTGGCGGTGGCGGTGGCGAGCAGCGGCTTCATGAGGATATCGACGAGCTTCTTGGCGTGCTGCAGCGCCGTCTTCGGATCCACCTCGCTCGCCGGCAGCGTCATGTTGCCTGCGCCGCACGCACGGGCCACGTGCCACGATCAGAACACCGTTGCGAATGCGAGAGCAGGGGAAACAAAGCGGCACGCAGAAGCAGCATGAGCATTGCATGCACAACGCGCGTGCCCACACGCGATGCGCGAGAGGCCTAGAAATTGGAGAACGCGGGGTCTAGGAGTGCGTTAAGAAGCAGCAGGACGCACGCGAGGTGGGCACTTCCGACATGACGTGCACGAGGAGGAGCGTCACGGCGCGCCCTGCCATGTGCTCCAACGCCAGCTCCAACGCCTCCTGACTCAAGTCGCGGTGCCGCGTCACCTCCACGATCCACGTCGGCACAGACGCTGGCAGCGACCCCGTCATTGCCGCCAACATACGAGCCGGCAGAAAACCTAATTCTGTTCAACACTCTATATAGTCAACCCTAAAAAACGCGTCGCAAATGCCACCGCTCGCTTGCGATAACCAGCCAGACGGTTAGGCTAATTGCAATCGAAGAGGCGAAGAACAACTCAAGCGCAGGCAGCAGCTAGCACAGCACAACTCAACATTTCACTGGAGCTCGCCGTTCCTTTCCAAGGCCTTAGCATCCCGTTCTTCTGCCAGCCCACGAACAACCCTCACCAGCTTCTCACGCAAAACCCTACCGCTTGCTCCTATGACCGTTTCACAAGCACTCGCAAGTTCATTATAATTCGCCAACTGTCGAAATCCGCCATAGAATTTCCAGCTAAAACCTTAGCTTCCAACAAGACTGGAAATTATTAGATCCGCCTGGCCAGCGTGGCGTGATTTTGAAACTAGCAGAGGCGGTGGAGCAACAGAGAAGAGAAACGAGCTGGAATTGTGGTCGGGTCAGGAATACTCGGGGGTGAGATGAGACGTGGAGGCTGGCTGTGCTGGTTGGCTGTCTGTCGGGCTGCCATGATGGTGCCTCGCTCAATAGTTGCACGTCCCACTGGGGAACATGGGCAGCAAGGCAGTGGCGAAGCAGACCGGTTGTTCTATTTCGCGGTCTAGTGGGCTCATTTTGGTGTGCCCAAAGCATTTGAAAGCATTGCAGCTTGTGAATTGAAGGTAATGAGACGTTCTTTTACATTTCTTATTCCGCCCTCTGTTCCACAGTTCCTCTTAGCTACAAAAATCTCCACATTGCGCATTCAGTGCCTGCAATATCCAATGCAAATCCGAACAGGACACTGTAGGGGCGTTGCCTAGGACCTGCTGTCGCGAGGTGATGGTGGTGTGGTGGTGTGATGGCTTTCTCTTCATTCCATTTTTTTTCTCGAATCATCTCCCACCCCAACCACGACACGACACAGCTCCGTCTCCACCTCTACGGGTTACATAGAACTATCTTCGACATTAGCAAACGAGGGAAAGCTGTGTTGCGAGATGTGAGCTGCTTAACTTGTTATTATATGCTTGAAAATACTCCCAACAAATGAAGGTTACGACATGAACCTCAACAATACATTGGGGATTGTTACGATATGAAGTTAAATGAGAAGGCATTACTGTATGCTGAAGGAGCCAACTCTACCAAGTACGAAGTCGAGGAGTCAGAAGAGTCGAAGCGACGCAGCAACCATCTGACCAAGACCGATGCAGGCACAAACATTTGAAATGAAAAGAGCGGGAACAAGTTTGAAACGGGTTCCCGCGCCGCACGGTTGAATTCGCTGTAATAAGGGAATGTACCCCTTAGAGTACATAGCTAGTCTAGGTCTTTTCGTATTCCCTTGTATTCTTATATAAACTCGATGTATGCATGTCATAATCATATCAGTCATTTACATTCACTCTGACCTGAGTCCACCACATCCGCTGCAACACTACCCTGCGATCAACCCTGAGCGATCCTTCGCTAAGTCCCACTTGGTATTATAACATGGTATCAGAGCTACTCGGGGATTCTTCGCAACTTCACTTTCGTGAAATTCGCCGAACCAAGAACTAGCGAGCGGCACACGCTCCAAGACCAAGATGGTCGGAGGATCCGGAGGCCAAACAAATCTGACGGCCGAATGACAAACCAACCCGCCTGCAACAAATGAGGCGACAACCACGATCAGCACTGCCGCACTCGAGCAGTTAATCTCACGACTATTAATTATGGAGAAAGACCTCCAAGAACGGCGCAAAGGCGATGCGGGAACATCTTCCTAACTAGCTGAACCTGGACAACCAGCTGCGAAAAGCCGTGATACCGCCGCGCACACCTTCTCCCTCGATACAGACAAATCAACAACTACACCCCTCCGTCCAAATGATGAAGTTATCAACTCTGCGCAAGCACGCTTCCTCAGCGTTTAAAAAATAAAGTCTACCGCCGCATTCGACGGCAAGGATTTCTATACATAGAGTTTTGAACTTGAGCTCCTCCTACAAACAGCGTAGATCTACCATTACTTCGACGGCTCCTACCCAAAACTGGTAGAAGACACCGACGACGCCTTGGCTCAGTACCACAGCGAGTCCCTCATGGCGTATAGTGCGCTGCTACGTAATATGACGCCTGCGGAACAACTCAGCATTCGCTCCTACAAAGAGAGCGCCACTCCAGCCTTGGAAGCTAGGAAGCACCTCGTTGAGGTATATCAGCCGAAGGATTCGGTCACCGCAAGCAGGCTCCTACAGCAACTCATGGAGACAAAGATGGGGCACGAGGAGAAAGCGTACTCCTTTATTAACCACTGTCGGAACATCCGTGACCAGATCACGAAGAGCGCAATCTCGGAAGAGATCTTCGTTAATATAGTCCTTCAAGGATTCGGGCCAGAGTGGAAGCCCTGCAAAGCGCTCCTCCGACAACGCGAAATCATCTCTGAAGCTGCGCTATGCGCCGCTCTCCTGGCTGAACAGCAGGACATGGACTCGAGCAGAACAAGCTCCGCGCCGCGCCGAGAGCGCCTCGCCTTCTACTCAGACAACCTCGAAGAGCGACGACAACCAAGGCGCCACTATTGCAAAATATGCAAAGTCTTCGGACATTCAACGAATCGATGCAAATCCCGATCCAACTATCGCCACCCGAATTCCACTCACCATAACAATTGGGTCGGCCGACAAGACGCTCGTCATTCTCAGCCTCAACACCAAACCTCTCGTCCCCCTGCAGAGCATCATCAGCAGCAGTCACAAGGATCTCAAACAGGAGTTCCCAGAAACGTGATAGCGAATATGGCGACACGGCGCCGTCGCACTGCTGAACCAGACGAAGAGGACGAACTTCAAGAAGGGCTCCTTGAACCAGAGGAAGGATGGAATAATCCCCTCAAAGAAAACCACTACTATCGGTATGACGAAGACGAGCAAGATTGGCACCTGCCAATAACACTGCGGGAAAGCCCGCCACACGACCACCGACGTTACGTACCTGTGGGATGGAAAGAGAAAGAAGAGCCATCCTTCCATAGACGCTATAAGGCGACATTGGTGACTCCGCGACTTGCGCTACTCCTGCGCAATAACAACACCGACAACTACAAGACATGGTACCTTGACAGCTGTTGCGGAAGCACATGGTGGGATCCGTTCGATACGTCTCAAGCCTCAGCCGCGCCCCCGCTACCTATGTCACCGTCGCCAACAATGAGCAGCTACGCGCTAACGCGCAAGAAATCGTGGTCCTGCAAGCACGAGATAGCAACACCCACATCTCGTTCAACGACGTGCTTTACGTCCCGGACCTTCGCTTTAACTTACTATCAGCAGGACAACTCCGAGACTGCGGAAGTCATGCTCGCAACGGACCCGGGCACACGCGATCTCATCCTCACCTTTGCTCCTCCGGACACCCCCCCGAGTCGCACAAATACCTCGGACAAGCTCGCTCGATCAACGGTATCTACGTTTTGGACTTCGACATACCGAGCTGTCAAGCCTCATCGGACGAGCTCGTAGATCTCGTCCCCCTCGACTTCCCGTTCATGAGCCAAGAGTCGAGGCAGCACCCAGACGGACGACCGAGGGTCCGCCGCAGTACTCATCCCCGTGAGATCAACCTGCACGAGCCTGACATCAACGGTCTCTGCACCACCTGCCACACACCCACGGCAAGCCGCACAAGTGGAGAGAAATTATGCGGCAATCCAGGAAGCAGAGAGCGCCGTGGCAGAACCCTCGGGCATGACAGAAATGGAACTCGCAGTTACCACTCACCGCGTCTTCGGTAAAGGCGACGACGAGCGCAGCTTTACACCACAGGAATGCCCAAAGCCACGCTCAAACATACTTCGCTTCATCCTCAGAGCCAACATCGGCACCTTCGACGAAGCAGGACGTGTGCGCCCCTACACCCGCGACACCTACCGCAAGGAGATTGACACGGCCTGGAAGGACCCTGACGCAAAAGAAGAGCTGAGCGTCAAAGAAGAACGAGACAAGGCCAAGGCAGAGAAGAAGCGGAAACTGTACGAGGAACGCGTAGCGGCAGGATGGGACGAGGAGTCAGCACGACGTGGCGCGTGGGGAGACGACGATTACACGCCAGAAGAAGGCGCAACCTGGGAATCCGCCACTGGTGCATCAGGCACCGTTCAAGGATGTGGACCCAGCGCCAGCGGCATGGTTACCATAGGAGGATGGGGCACTACGGAAACTGACGAAGGAGAACTGACACAAGAAGAATTGGAGGAAGCCGAAAGGGAGCTGAGAGTTGAGCGCGGAGAACAATCCCCATGAGTCACCTTCCGCTCGGACGACCCCCGCGCACCCGCTCACCTCCCCGCTCACCCTATCGATGGAACGATCCTTGGTCGGAGATTGAGGAGGGGAATGTACCGCCAACTCCTCCGCGTGACTCACTTGGTCCAATCTCCCGCCCAAATCCATTCGCCCGCTTCATCGAGGGCACAAGGACATCGCTTAATATCATCCCCGACCGCGCATTCCTTGCACTTTACCTCATGACGGCACCTGCAGAAGGGGAGACAACAACAGAAACAGAAGCAGAGGAGACGGACAACGAAGCAGAACCAGGAGAAGAGGAAGAACCCCCACCCCAAATCTCGCAAGAAACGGAGGCGGAAGCAGAGGAGCACCATGCTCGCTATATGCGCACAAGCGGAATTCGCGCAGAAGACGATCTCTGGGATCAGCGACTGGGACATCCCTCGCGCCAGATGTCAAATTTTATATCTGCTACAGTTTGTTTAGGCTGTAGTGGGGTAGTTACTATGGGGTACAGTAAGTTTAGGGTTTCCTACTTGTACCCAACTCTTTCCTAGTTCAATCACTCTTGTTGATTCTGACATGGTCTCACGAGCCTTGGTTAGCCACCTAGGACCGCTTGCTACTACGGGCCCACTATTCCGCTAGACGCGCCCTCGTGCGCCCTACCTTTCGTGCGCCCTCGTGCGCCTTTCTCTGCT